GTATTAATGATATTTATCTGATTACAACCCAGCCACACAACGTGGAAGCTGTTTGAGTTTTCTCATCTTGTGTTGAACAGTGAATGAAATTTCACAAAAATGTTCATGGCCTTAATCTTTAGGGATTCTGCAATTACTACTGCTACTTCATACAGTCAGAGTATAAAACCACATATTTGTTGAAAAAATGAACACTATATATTGTGTGCCATGGTCGTTAACTCTCTGGTCTAGTCAAAAACTAAGGCACTGGCTATGCTTACTCCACACTCAGCTATCTTCAAGCCTTTTTAACTTCATTATTTACCCTACCAGAATATGTCATTTTCATTACCAAAATGATACCCAAACATTTTCTCACTGAAATTTTCACTAAGAGTTTGAAATCTGGAGACAACAGATGCTGGAGAGGATGTGGAGAAAAAGGAACACTTTTACACTGTTGGTGGGAGTGTAAATTAGTACAACTATTGTGGAAGACAGTGTGGCCATTCCTCAAGGGTTTAGAAATAGAAATTCCATTTGACCCAGCAATCCCATTACTGGGTATATATCCAAAGGATTATAAATCGTTCTATTACAAAGATACATGCACACATATGCTCATTGCGGCACTGTTTACAATAACAAAGAGAGAAGGAAGGAAGGAAGGAAGGAAGGAAGGAAGGAAGGAAGGAAGGAAGGAAGGAAGGAAGGGAGAGAGAGAGAGAAAGAGAGGGCAAAAGAAAAGAAAGAACGAAAGAAAGAAAGAGAGGGAGGGAGGGAGGAAGGGAAGAAAAAAGAAAGAGAAAGGAAGAAAGAAAGAAAGAAAAGAAAGAAAAAGAAAAAAGAGGGAGGGAAGAAAGAAAGGAAGGAAGGAAGGAAGAAAGATAGAGAAAGAAAAGAAAGAAAGAAAGAAAAGAAAGAAAGAAAGAAAGAGGAGAAAGAAAGAAAAGTTATCTGGACATGATGGCACACACCTTTAGCCCAAGCCCCATCTACTCAGGAGGCTGAGGAAGGAGGATTGTTTGAGCCACAGAAGCAGAGGTGGCAATAAACCAGGATCATGCCACTGCACGCCACCCTGAGTAACAGAATGAGATCTTGTCTGAAAAAAAAAAAAAAGAAAGAAAGAAAGAAAAAGAAAAAGTTTAGTGCATAAAGTTTATTTGAATTTTAATGATTACTTGATAAGATGAAAATTATTAATAATATCACAGGGACTTCAATCTTATGTCTCCCCTTTAAATTTTGACTTAGAAAAAATGCAGAAGATTAACTCACATGTCCTAGTCATCTAACTGTAAACGTTTATGGGTTCATTAATGTATTGCAAATACTTTAACAGAAGTAATGCAATATAAATACTCCTTGTTGTTCTATTTCTATATTAATCAACACCATTTCTGCTCAGAAATAACCACCATACTGGATTTTCTATTTATCACTTCCAGGTACACTTTTATTATACGCAATTGCATTACTAAGCAAATTATTTTCTTTTTGATTTTAAGTTGTGAAACATCACATATATCCCTTTCAACATGTTTGTTTTCATAGTTTTGTTTTATTATTTCCAATTTAGTACATACAGCTCTAGTTCATGCAATTTAAACTTGTGTGTAACATTTTATTCTACAAAAATATGACACTTCACTTTTTCATTTTCCTATTAATGAACATTTAAGTTTTCCCTATATTTTGTGGGTCCTAAAATTGTATTAAAATGAATATTGTCTCATTGTCTACTTGAATATTGTCTCATTGTCTACTTGTCCCAGATTTAACTGGAAAGGGAATTTGGGAGTCCAGTTATATGTGTGTATTTAGTTTTTCTAGATATTAACCAAATTGCTATTCAACATGATTATTTGAATCTTCACTCAGACAAGCAATAAATGGCACTACTAAGTATTGCTAAGGCTTTTTTTTTTTTTTTTTTTTTTTTTTTTGAGACGGAGTTTCGCTCTCGTTACCCAGGCTGGAGTGCAATGGCGCGATCTCGGCTCACCGCAACCTCCGCCTCCTGGGTTCAGGCAATTCTCCTGCCTCAGCCTCCTGAGTAGCTGGGATTACAGGCACGCACCACCATGCCCAGCTATTTTTTTTGTATTTTTAGTAGAGACGGGGTTTCACCACGTTGACCAGGATGGTCTCGATCTCTTGACCTTGTGATCCACCCGCCTCGGCCTCCCAAAGTGCTGGAATTACAGGCTTGAGCCACCGCGCCCGGTCTGCTAAGGCTTTTAATGTTGGCTAATATGTCTGAGGTCACTAATATTTTGTTTATATTTTAATTAGAATTCCACAATAACTACTAACATTGACCACCTGTAGACATATGTGTGCTCCTGTTTTCTTTCTTTTTTGTTTGGTTTTGCACTTTCTGTCAATTGCCTGCTACTTGTCTTTTATGCATTAGTCAATTGAAATTCTCCTTAACTTCTGAATAGTGCTTTTTATTTGTAAGCCATAGCAACCATTGTAAGGATTCTACACTCACAGACCCTCTCATGCATCTCGCACACTCAAGTCAACTTCCCTGGATGTTCTACTCACACAGAGTAACTCAAAGTGCCAGATGAAGTCCCGGAAGCATTCAACCAGTGAGCATGAATTTTTGGCAAATAAATATTCCACTCTATTTCCCCTTAAATGGGATAGCTCTGACACCTGTTCCCACCGTCTCACGCAGGTTCCAAGCAGAATTACGTTCCAGATGCCTATGGTGGTAACTGGCTGGATCACACTTGATCTTCATTGGCTTTATCCCCCTCCACTTTTCACTTCCTAGTTCCTCTCATGAAGCTTCCCTGGACTGCCTCCAAAATAAATGTAAGTAACTCATACCAAAATTTTTGCCTCAATTCAGTTCTGTAGTAGCCAAACTAAAACATACACAGTTTGAAAAATAGTTTAAAGAAAAAAAAACACCAAGTCTGTGGCTCAGGGTTTTGCTTTTTAGATAAGTTCTGTTATTTAAAAAGAAAAGTCAATGTTATTACTGGCTAAATTTATTAATGTTCATGATTTTTCCTTTTATTTCTGAATCATTTTCTAAAAACTCCTTCGAAACATTATCATTACAAAGACATTCTTCTATACTTTCTACTAAAAATTTCCTGTGCATTTTATATGAGCTTAATCCACCTGGAATTTGTTTCTTCATGGTGTGAGATGAAGATTGATTGTTCTTCATCGGAAGATGGAGAACAAATCAATGCAGCACTATGTATTGAATTGCCATTCTTTTCTAACCTATTATTAGTGTTCTATGTTTTTGAAATATGAAGTTTCCATATGCGAATCACACTTATGAGCACTTAATTCCACTGAGGCCGTTTTCTTTTCTGGGACAGATACAACACTCTCTTTATATTACAGCTTTGTAATGAGCATTGTTACCTGATAGGGCAAGTCTGTTTTATTTTAAGAACTTTTTAAAAAATTTCAAGTCATATTCATTGATTTTTCACATTTACCTGTTTGTTTAATTTTAGTCCATCCTTCATAAATTATTGCTTTATTTTAAAAAACTATTCTTTCACTATTTATTTGATACTAAATATAATCATTTAAAACATTATTTGAGGAGAATTTATGATCTGAAAGTAAAAGTTTTGTTTTTGAAACTAAACGCCTTATTTTGGGCTTTCAATCTAATATTTTATCCATTAATCCATGCTATGCTTGAAGCAGACATGTGAACTCACTTGCTACCTTCTGCTTTCCTTCTTTAAAGTTAAAAGAAACATAAAGTTCTATATGATATTCTAAAAGAGGTTTGCTTCTGCATTAGCTATATATAATAGTCCCCTAGAATATAATTGAATATATTCCCCTAGCTATTGTAATTGTCCCCTAGAATATAAATGAAATAAACTTCTCCTAATTCCGTAAGTGGTATCTCTGATTTCATGTATATTTTACAGCATTTAATAATAAGTACTAAGTCAATTAGCTAAAAATATAAATATTTGCAATCAATAATTTCATTGATTTAATAATTCATTCAATTAAAAATTTCATTTATTTACTCATAATTCTATTTTTTATCAGCAAGAATTTGCATGCAACTGCAATTTTCTTCTTTCATTGGTCAAGAAGAAGAAAAGCAGCTACTGCTCATCTTAGCCCATTGTAATATGCCACAATTTCAGTGTGTTAGGGATTTCTAATCTAAAACTTTCTTACCTCCTGCCAGTTTTATTTACCAGAAAAAAGGCACATTGGTTTACTTCAGAATAGGTTTGGTTTTATTCGGTTTTAATTTTTGCATTTTAAAATTCCTGGATTCATTACTCATGGTGTGAATAATTCCAGTGATGCACTGTAATTTAATTATCAGAGAACAACTTTGGTTCTCCCATAAAGCGTAAGTCTACAACTGTAATTATGATTACCTTAACCTGTTCTCTGGTTCTAATTGGCATATTTAAAGAGATAAAGTCCAGGGCAAGTGAGCAATGTCTGCCCTACCCAGAATGTTTTCTTAGAATAGAAACACTTATTTTATTCCTCTTATGACAGGTACTCCCATTCATTAACTTCACATAGGTGTCATAACAAAGTGTGCAACACTGTTGATTGTTTCCATAAGGAATATATGTATATGTATATATACACAGAGAGAGGAGATATATGTTAGACTTTATATACACCTGTACCTAAAAGTTATTTTTAGAATATCTATAACCACATACAAGAAAAATATCTTAAAAGTAATCTGAGTCAGAAGGTAAAAGGTTGATCTGTTAGGAACTCCATGAATATCAAATGCATGTGCCCAGTGACTAATTTGTCTGTCATGAATTTCACATTTTTCTTAATAGTTCTCAAAATGATAAAGTGTATTTTTTGTTTACAACATGAATTTAATTTTGTTCACCTTGGCAAATGTCCTGTTCAGGTAGTTAACATTTACAACTCTAGACATCTTTACTCATTTATACCTTCTTAAAGATTAACCACCCTTTTAATGATACTTAATGTATAGAGACATAACTTTGCCAAAGGGACATACACAACTCACTTACACTGACTGTAGTGAGTATAGGCAGGTGGTTTTTGCTTTACACATCTTTAAAAATTTGAGAGATTTTGCTCTTCAGGTGGTAGAGTTATTCATATTCTTTTTAAGTTCTTAAATTAGCAAGCCTTCAAAACCAAAAATGGAGTTGAAAAGAAGTGCATCTTCTACGCACCATTCTCTTAGCTCCTATGAAATCATGTTTGCAGCTCTCTTTGCCATATTGATAGTGCTCTGTGCTGGATTAATTGCAGTGTCCTGGCTGACAATCAAGGAATCACAACAAGGTAAGTCACATGGAGTTGGCTCATAAAGGTGCTCTCAATTGAATATACACACCTAAATTTCAGTTATCCTATAAGTCTATTTTATTCATTGCTGTGGCTGCATGACAAGATATTTCTGTTGCATTCACATACTTCTCTGTAGTTCCCTTCAGAGAATATTAGAAGAATTAATTGGTACATAATTTGAAAAAAACTTAACCCAAAATTCAAGCATGAGACTAAGTATTTTTTAAAAATAAATAGTTAAAGAAATCCCTTTGTTTCAACATATAATCAAGTAGATTTCATGATCTCTGATTTTGTTCTGATATAATTTAAATCACAAATATATTAATTTTGACTATATAAGTACGTAAACATGCAAAGTTAACAAAAATATTGTTTATTTCTATAGAATAAGACCTTAATTCTCTTATCAGTCTAACCATTTTAATTCTACTAATGTAAAAGAACCTGTATATAAATGTAGACTTAAATAAGATCACAAACTGTCTTAGTAGCAACTTTGATAAACAGAAAAAAACATAAGACATGATAACTCTTATTTAGAGCTCACTTTGTACCAACAGCTTTTAAAAGACCTTGAAATGTATTGTATAGCTACAGTGTATCAGTGGTTATTGCTATGCTCGTTTCACAGTTGGGGAATCTGAGAAAGAGACTAGAAGTAACTTGCTTAAGTTGGGCAGCAGAAGTAAGATTCGAAATTAGACAACCCAGATCTAGAACTTATAGTCTATCTTACCAATTACTCATTTATAGGGCAAATTTAAAAAATTGAAAGCATAGCAATAACCTAAATACTAAGAGTTTTTCTCAGACAATTTTTTACATTTTTAAATTGATGAACTACATATGGACATGTAAATTCTTTCTAAAAATTCACAGGATAAGGTCTTTCACATGTGAGTGATTTTAGTTTCACCAATTAAATTCTCAACTGTTGGGTTAGCTATTTTATTCTAGTATGTTGATAAGTTTAAATTAGAATGTAATGCATATGCTGTAGTTTTATAAAATACTATTAGTATAATTCTCAGTCTATTTAAAACCTATAGCCATACACAAGGGTTATATTTTTTAATAACTGTGTGTATATTTTATATAATTATACAAACTACTAAATGATAACACAGATTGACTTAAACTATTAAAAAATCGCTGTTTTGGTGTTATTGAATTGCTGTGAATAACTTGAAGGATCTATAAGTATTTGAAAGTCCATTGGAATCCCTGATATTCAATAAACATACAAAGGTTAGTTATTTTACAAGTGTAATAGAAAATAAACATTTATAAGTGGTAATAAATTTAACAGCTAACAACTAAATATAAAAAGAGATTCGAGTTAATGCCTTACCAATACATCAAAGATCATAATGTATACCACCTTTTTTTGTTTTAAACTGTTATTTTAGATTCAGGGGATGCATATGTAGGTTTGTTATGTGGGTATATTGCATGTGTTGAGGTTTGGGGTGTGAATGATCCCATTATCCAGGTACTGAGCATAGTACCCAGAAGTTAGTTTGTCAACACTTGCCCCTCTCACCTTCCCCTTCTGGTAGTCCCGTGTCTATTGTTACCATCTTAATGTCTATGAGTACCTGCTATTTAGCTCCCACTTATACTTGAGAACATGTAGTATATGTTTTTTCTGTTCCTGCATTAATTTCCTTAGGATAATGGCCTCTAGCTACATCCATGTTGCTGCAAGAGACACGATTTCATTCTTTTTTATGGCTGCATCTTATTCCACGATGTATATGTACCACATTTAATTTATCCAATAAACCATTGATGGATACCTAGGCTGATTTCATTACTTTGCTATTATAAACAGTGCTGTAATAAATGTCTGAGTGCATGTGTCTTTTTGGTAGAATGACTTATTTTCTTTTGGATGTATACCCAGTAATGGGATTGCTGGGTCAAATAGTATTTCTGTTTGAAGTTCTTTGAGAAATCTCCAAACTGCTTTGCACAGTGGCTGAACTAATTTACATTTCTATCAACAGTGTATAAGTGTCTTGTTTCTCTGCAGCCTTGCCAACATCTGTTGTTTTTTCACTTTTTGGTAATAGCCATTCTGACCAGTATGAGACAGTATCTCATTGTGGTTTTGATTTACATTTCTCTGGTGATTAGTGGTGATGAGTATTTTTTTCAAATAGTTTTTGGGCACTTGTATGTCTTTTTTTAAGAAGTGTTCGTTCATGTCTTTTGCCCATTTTTTAACGGGTTTATTTTTTGCCTGTTCAATTGTTTAAGTTCCTTGTAGATTCTGGATATTAGACGTTTGTCAGATGCATAGTTTGCAAGTATTTCCTCCCATTTCATAGGTTGTATGTTTACTTTCTTGATAGCTTTTTGCTGTACAGACAATCTTTAGTTTAACTAGATACCACTTGTCAATTTTCGGTTTTGTTGAACCTGCTTTTGAGAATTTAATCCTAAATTATCAGCCAAGAATAATTTCCAGAGTAATGTTTCCTATGTTTTCCCCTTGGATTGTTAGAGTAAGGTCTTAATTTAAACCTTTAATTTATCTTCAGTTAATTTTTGTATGTGGTGAAAGGTAGGGGTCCAGTTTCATTCTTCTGCATATGGCTAACCAGATATACTAGCACTGTTTACTGAGTAGAGTCTTTTCCCCAGTGTTCATTTTTGTCAACGTTGTCAAAGACTAGATGGCTGTAGGTGTGTTCCCTAGTGAGATAATCTATTTTCCACAGCATTCTAAATAACGTCTTCAACAAGGACAGTCACCAGCTAATGGCACAAGGTCATGCATGCCAGTTTTATAATTATTAGAATCAAAGAAGTAGCTTCAAAGTCATGTTTCAAAGTAACAAAAACACTGGAACTTCACAGCAATTCATATGTCAAAACCCAGTGGTGTCCCTGGATGCTAGGTGTTCCAGAAGTATCTGAAATCAACTACAAAACTTTTAATGGTTCGCTTCTCACCATATTTCCCTGAGTCACTTCCCATAATTAGTGAGAGTTGATCAGTCCATGTATCTTCCAACAGGAATCTCAATAACAATAATAATGAAAACTTGGAAGCTTGGAGTGAGGGTTAGACTTCAAAGAAAAGAAAAGAAAAAAATATATATTGAAAGAATGGAAAAAAGTTTAGTTTCCCATCTTTTAAAACAATCAGACAGGTGGGGAAAGAAAGCAGCTGGTTTTGAAACATGAAACTACAAAGAAAAAGTAAGAACTACAGAGCTAACACATCAAGCAATAGCTTTACTTCTAAGTTTTGACAGAATGTGCACATTTTTCTTCTACTCATAATCCGAAATCTTAGTGTTTTTTTCTTATTAATTTATCCAGGTGCAGCACTTGGACAAAGTCATGAAGCCAGAGGGACATTTAAAATAACATCCGGAGTTACATATAATCCTAATTTGCAAGACAAACTCTCAGTGGATTTCAAAGTTCTTGCTTTTGACCTTCAGCAAATGGTAGGAGACTGTCTCTCTTCCTGTTTTAAAATTTTATTACCTAGTTTAACTAACTACTTGCCATAAGATACCATTTTCTCACTCTGAAACAACTAGAAAACCACACTGCCATGTGTGTACCTATGCAACAATCTTGCATGTTCTTCACATGTACCCCAAAACCTAAAATGCAATTTAAAAAAAGACCAAAAATAAATAAATAAATAAATATAATATGCCCAAGATACTTAAATGTATATGCCCCATTACTATGGAGAAAATTGCTCCAATTCTAAGCAGAACTAAAGATTACTTTATATAAATTTTGAAGAAAAGTTAAAATCTTAAATTTAGCATATTTATTCAATCTTTTATTTTTTTTCTAGATAGATGAGATCTTTCTATCAAGCAGTCTGAAGAATGAATATAAGTACTCAAGAGTTTTACAATTTGAGTGAGTACAGCTCAAGAATTTTCTACTGACAGAAAATTATTGATCTTTTTCCTAATATTTGTAAAATAGCATCATTAGATATAGGAATAGAGGAATATTTAAATTTTTCAACTTTTTTGAGCATTAAGCAAAGTGGCACAGCATAAACTTTTATCTTATTAGCAAATAATAATAACTTCTGATATTTCATCTTATGTTAATATGTTTCTCTCTCCTGACAATAAAATCCAGCAGAGACCCAAGGAGAGGGCTGAGGTTAAATGTATGCAGATGCAGATATAGCATGTGATTTGTGAGAAACATTTGGTAAAAGCTTGATCATGAATTAAAAGTAATATTGTATCACCCTGCTTCATTATGCTATAAATACCAAGAGAGAAGACATTCATTCAGTGTTACATGCCCAGACAGCATAAGACTGCTTAAAGCAAAGTAGGTGCTCAATAAACTAATGAATCTTAGATTAAGAATGTAATGATGTAATTCCAGTATGAATATTTAAATCCATAATACATGGAAATTATCATAAGAACACAATACAAAATCAATTTTCTAAACAATTAGCTTTTGTATTTCTCCAAGAAAAATTGATCTGTGTGTTGTTGTTGTTGTGTACATGAAGGAGAGTTTGACAATCTTGCTGACATTTCTCTGAACCTAAAGTTTTCTAAACTACAAACTCCCAAAGGACTTTTAGAGTAGAGATACACATCAGCAGGAAAGTTAGGAAAAAATATATATATAATAGAAAGAAAAATATAAATTTATAAAATTAAGTTAAAAATGAAAAAGACAAAGGGAGAGGGTTCCAAGGGAAAAAAAAGTAAAAGACTGATCAAGACCTAGGGTATCTGAAAAAAGGAAGAGAGCAAAGCCTTCATAATAATTCACATTTAAAAAGCACAGAAGACAATATTCCAGCTGCTTTGGGAAAACACAGATCCTATGACAAGCTGGCAAAAAGGAAACTCACCAGTTGAGTATTTCAGGCCAAGACTTTTGTGACTTAAATAAGATGTATTTTCTGATTAGTTCCTCACAAAATGACTGTGAGGGAGACACAATTATTTTGACTTTTATAAATATGACACCAAGGCTTGAAATGTCTCAAGTCACACAGCTAGCAGGTGTTGGGGAATGTATTTGAATGGAGTTTGGTTGTTCTGATTCAGCATATGTTCTTCCTCCATACGACAATGTTAAAGTAGCAGAGCCCAAAGAATATAACAACCTTTCCATTGCATCTTGGGTCCACTCATCTATGGCGAAAAGCAAACCCAACCTGTAGGGAGGTTTTAGACTTCTATCCAGAAGTCTATAAAGGGCTTTTCTATCACTTAGATTGTAATACTGTTAGAATTTAGTAGAAAGAGATTAATACTGCTTAAATTTGATTTTCTCATATAATGTAGCTAACAAAAAATAGGAATCTTTTTTCGATATTGCTGTGGATATCCTACAAACAGCCTAATGAATAATCATGATTATTACCATATTTTGTTTACTACTATATAACTTTAGGTACTAGAAAATGCTTTATTATCACCAAGTTATTTCTTTGTTTTGACTCTCACCTATGGATCCAGGTTATAGTTACTAGTTTTTTAGAGAATAAGACTCTCCATCTTCAGATCCGTCTTTCAAATACCTAAAGACTTTTTCTAGTGCTATATCCTAAATGCAGGTGTGCTTCATGGCTCTGTCACCAAAGCACATTCTGGCCTTATTTTTCTTTTCCCCTACTCACCACAAGCTTCTGCTTTAGTCCTACCATGTCATCTGTACATCCTCAAAACCATCCTGCTTTCTCTTTTTTATCCTGGTGGGAGGTGATTGGATCATGCAGGCAGTTTCCCACATGTTGTTCTCATGATAGTGGATGAGTTCTCATGCAGTTTCCCCCACTCTTTCTTTCTTTCCCTCTTTCTTTCTTTCTTTCCTTATTTATATATATCATTCTTTATTCCATTGCATATTTCTGACATCTTAATCCAAGTAGCTGCCCCTACACCCATCTGCTGTCCTCATTCCTACCTATAGTACATAGTCCCATCCCTCTGTTTCCAGAGTATATAACCTCTTATAGCCTCTTTCATCAGTCTGATATCAGAACTAAAAGGAGAAACATGAACATGCAGGAAAGGTAAATCATTTTATCTTTTTCAAAATAATAATAATAATGTGTACTTAGTCTTTATTGTGTGAGTATAAAGCTACACAGGCAAGTTTTATTTTTTGTTGGTTCACTTGAAGCTCTTTTTCTGCTTTGAGGTGAATTAAACAAATTTCTCTTTTCCAGTTTTGCAGCGGGTTAAGTCTGGAGATCTGCAGTAAAGCATCAAGTCAGATTTATTTCAAAAAGGCTTTAGCATCCTTCAAGGAGAGGTATGCTAGGTGCCTGCCTCTCTTGAATTGGGCTCTGCCTAGTGAAATCCATACAGAAAGCACAAAGTCCATTGCAGAGTTTATCAAAATAGTTTTGCTAATGGAATCCTTTGTTTCTACGTGTCTACAACATGCTGGATAACTTCACTTACGTTAGGCTGGGAACATTTGATGAATATGAACTTTTATATATAGGGCTGGTGGGCTATCAAAATCCCAAAGTTTTCTTTGATATTCAGTAAGTAATCTCTTATTTCTCTAGATGGCAAAATCACCACCTTTGAAACCGTAAAATTTTTGAGCTTAGGCATTGTTTGTTTCTCCTTCTTTATAGCTACCTAGGAGGCTAGTATAGTGTCCAAACCTTGACAAACATTTTTAAATGACTGTCAAATAATGTATTTCATCAGTGTAGAGATACTTCCCTCTGGTGGTAGCTGAGCTACTATTAAATCAGAAGTGAGTTTTTAAAAAATGCAATGCAAAAGAATTTCATGAAGATGTCTGTTGATAAACTGAACATTGTTATTTTGGGAGACCTAGAAGAGGAGGATAGAAAAAGGAATTCAGGAGCAGGAGAGAGAGTAACAGTGGAACATTTAGGATTACTTTACCTTAAATAATCACCTACAAACAGACGCATTCCACTCATAGGAAAAAGTAGCAGGCTAATTATTAATGTTATAAATTATTTTAATTTAAAAATCTGATAAAATCAGAAAACAGAAATAACTGAGTTCTCGCCTAACAATACCCACATCAACTGTATATATATATATATATATATATATATATATATATATATATATACACACATATATATACATATATATGTATATATAGACTTTAAAATACCTATTTACATTTTTGTTAAAGATTCTAATTAAACATTAAACTCACACAACATGTGTGTATATAATCAAATTCTAGCACTCAGAATTCTAGAGTTAGTCATTAAACAATTTTATCTTACTTTCACAATATTTAATGCCGACCTCTGCCACTTACTAACTTTTATGATTGTGGGGTGTGTGTCTGTGTGTGTGTGTGTGTGTGTGTGTGTGTCTACTCTTTAGGGTAGGCAAATTGTTTGGTCTATTTGGGGAAAATTTCAGTCATCAGACTTTGTGGAAAGTACTTGCACTCAGAACATTTAGCATTTGATTTTAATAAAGAACTATTTACCCTCTGTGGCAACATGTAGTTTCTTCTGCCCTTTGAGCACAGATAAGCCACAAGTTAGGAAAGGAAAGACTTTTGTTTACTCAGCAAGCCTAGGGGTTACCAATATCATTAAGGAAAATATGAAATAAATATTTTGCTCTGTTACACTCAGGCTTCCCGTACAATAGTAATATTTATCTGCTTTAGAAAAAGGCTGTTATTTTACTAGGACTAGTACTTGAAATGAAAATGGTCATTTTTTTTTAACCTAAATGAAGAATTCTCATTTCATTACTAAACAACTAAAATAACAGCTTCTGCTTTCTTATGAGGTGAATCACAAATGATTATTGTGACTTTTTAAAATTTCTACTGTATCTCTCTCATCTCAACATTTCCACTAAAAAGAAAATAGATTTTAAAGGCTACAACATTATGTGGATATAGGATATGCAACTCCTATCCTTGCTAAGTATAAATTATTAAATGTGATGCATAATTCACAACTAAGAGAACACACCTTTCAAAGAAAAATGTTTTATGCCTGAGTATGAACTAATCCAGTTACTTTCAACTCAGTGAAGCAAAATTCCAGATTTGTCTTTTATTTGCCTAAAATACCATACTTCTTTTACTCCATAACTCAAACAAAATGAATGCAAGTGTTCAGTCAAATTAAACCTGTTAAATTACATAAAATAAAACACAGATTTAATCAGAATTTAAATTTTCTAGTCTGCAACCAAAGATAAAATGAAGGTGTGGGACAGAAAAAATAATGGATATTGTTCACTTTGACTTCATTTTAACCATATTCAAACCTGTTTATTTAGCTATGTTGGAAAGTGAGGTTGATTAGGAAGACATAGTGTAAAAAAGAGCAAAGGAGTAAGAGGAAAAGAAGAAAGAAGAAGAGGAGAAGAAAAAAAAGACAATAATCAATCTTTTGAAAGTATTGAAGGAATAAAATACCTTTTCCTTCCCAAAAACATCCAACCAGCTATTTTGTATACAAAGTTCTGCTAACTATGCAACAGAATAAAATGCCTGGACATGCCTTTAGGGTAAATGTGCTGTAGTCTCTTACCTGCTGACAAATAGTTCATAAAAGAGTTGATAAAAGTGTTGTTGAGTGTGAGGGGGATGGGAATTATATGAAAACATATTATGGAAGCAGATTCCCTAGGTTTCTTTTCTATCTCTTACGCTAATAAGCTGTATAACCCTAGGCAAAGTTACCTACATTACTCTAAGCTCAGGGTCCTCATGGCTAAAATGAAAATATTGGCCGATATCAGGTTCAAAAACAGACTCATTACCTTTCTCTGGAGCTTCTGTTCGTATAGATATGGGGTAGAGCCTGACAGTTGTATGCTTGTTAGAATTTTCAAAATTCCCATTAGCAGAATGCATGACTAAAAGTGCCTTAAAAATGTTTGTTACCTGGCATCACAAGAAATCTAGAGGCTTTAAAGGAGATTAATTTCAGTAGTATAATGACAATGATATAGTCAAGACTTTGGATACTTTCCTTCTCCCACTATGCTCTTTGCCTTGTCAACAATGGCCTGCCTCATGGACTCAAGGTACACGAGGCAGTTTCAGTAAGCTATGTAAACCTAATGCTGTTCAACAATGAAGAGTAGTAATCAACTGTGAGCTGTTCTTTTATAAGATATAAAAAAGTTTCCAGAAGTTTCTATTAGTCTTTTGTTTAGATTCTGTTGATCAGGTCTAAGTCATATACCCATGAATAAAATCATGTTTGGTTGTTTGGTATAAACAATGGTTAAAGAAGATGTCAACTTTCCTAAGAAAATGAGGCTTATTCTGCAGTAAAATTGAGGTTAATCAGCCAGCACAAGTGTAGCAGAGTAGATGAAAGTAGTGTCTGTGGCAAAATTTATCATTACCAAGAACAACAGTGATTTCATGTATATTTCTCCAAACAGTAAAATTAGAATAAGTTTGGAAAACCCTAAACTAAATAGTTACTAGGAAACCTTCTTGTTTACAAGATTTAGTTACTATAATTCAAGAAAATGATTAGAAAGTTAAACCTTCTAACATTTTAAATAATTTATTTAATACATGTGAATTACAAAAATATTATATCAAAAAATATATCTTGTTATTTTGAAAATGAGAGACCAGCTACCTAGAAAGGAATCACTGTGAAACCAAATAGTGCCATGAACACTAAGAAGAAATATACTCCACCTAGTGGAGCTGCTGATCTATTGTTATCTGTTGGAACTATTCCGATTCTATATCCAGTCATAAATGAAAACAAGAAGATTTACTGTAGGTTCTAGCAGGATAGATAGATGCACAGATAAATAAAGAACTCTACTGTACTTGATAAAACCCTTCAAGAAGCTCATAAACTTACATCCATCACAAGAATGTATAACTCTCATAATTCGAAAGCAATAAACATATCATGCAGAATTTAGTTTTCCCTAGTCTGTCTATAGAGGAACCAAGTATACCCTGAGTTCCCAGAGCTTATTGAGGAATACAGAATAAATATAAGAGCTAGAGTTTGTTTCCCGGTTGGTCACACTCTAAAATGATAGCATTTGCCAAATAGAAATGTAAGCAGGAGTGCCAAAAAATCTCCCAAGTATCCCTATTCACCAAAAATTTATTCATTTTTCTCTTTCTTTACACAGAAAAAAAGTTCCCTTTTAAAGTGCCTGGTACAGAGAAAGGGATAAAATGAAGGGGGAATATGATTAAGGCTATATGGTTGAACTTTAATGCAATGTTTGCAGATCATGTAGGCAAAACAATCCCAACTCATGGACCTGAGAGTGAATATCTTGTGAGTCCCTAATAGACCCATATATCCCTGTTTTCTTTCTATTCCTTGAAATCAGGGCATATTTTAATATTTTATATTAAGCAAAATAGATAAGTAAAGGTAGATATAGATTACTTGCTACAAGCTTGCTATCAGGTCTTTTAAAACTATGTAGAAAAACTTTTCCTTGAAACCAGTAAAACTACCTTAGATTTCCCCTAACTTAGAAATCACCCATGAAAAATTACAAATCCATACCCTTCATTCCTCCAAACAGTAAAATCAGAGTAAGTGCCAAGATATCACATGATTTTAACACAAGGGTCTCAGGAACATACTAGCCTGGGGATGAGTGCGCTAACGTGGAACTCAGAAAACTCAGATTTCAATTTTGCATCTACTTTGGAGTTTGTCTTCTCAAAAAAAGCATCTAGTCTTTCAATTCATTTTTTCTTTCACTCATGAAATAAAGATAATATTTGAAATAACCTACCTTACACAGGTATAATGAGAATTAGCAAGATAACTCAAGAGAATTTCAAAGACATTTAACATGAATTGAGCACAAATCAGTTGAAGATGGCTGACGTTTTCCCCTTATGTCATCTTTTGCTTTGCAGAAATGGCAGCGTTATAGTCATATTTGACCTTTTCTTTGCCCAGTCGGTGTCAGATGAAAATGTAAAAGAAGAACTGATTCAAGGCATTGAAGCAAACAAATCCAGCCAACTGGTCACTTTCCATATTGATTTGAACAGCATTGATATCCTAGGTATCTGTGAACATTATTTTATTTCTTTGAATCATTAAGCTATGAAATTAAAATTCTATCAATATACCAGGGAAGAAGTGGAATCATGCTTGACCTTAGGAACATGTCTTATTGCCTGAGGTGACACATTTGAATGAGAAAAGTAAAATATGAAGAAACCACATTTGAAGAAACTTATCAATGAGAAAAAGTTTACAAAATATCAAGGAGATTCTGAAAGTGTTGGCATGCATAAAAGTTTGGGGGTCTTATGCATTCTTTGCACTGGTTCAGCACACCCTGACTTTTCAGGAACTCTCTTTAGATAGTATTAGATTGCAAAATCGTGTGGCAAGGTCCAATCTCTAATTGAGAAGCTAAAAAAAGAAGGAAAAAGTATGGTCAATGAGTTTGATCCCTTCTTGTTATCTATTTATAAAAGTTAAATCTTTATTTTTAAAATGATAGATAATTTTAACATAAGTATAAACCATAAAAAAAGAAATATGGGACGTCAAAAACAACAACAGAAAAATATGTTTATAAATTCTTAGATTGTTCCAAATTTTCCATTTTAATTATCCACCATTCAACTCAATTCAACAAACACTTACCGTGCGCTTATTTCAGTTGAGGAAAGTAGTAATTTGCTAAGGTCATCCAGATTCAATCCCTTATCCATAAACCTTGGGACCAAATGCATTCTGGAATTCAGAAATGGATTTTAGAAGGTTAGCCAATACATAATTATCTACACTGAGAGGAATAAAGAGAAACTCTAAATAGCCTAACTATTCAACTAGTTGAACTAGTTGTGCTACAAAATGAGATCGGTTTCTGTTTGCCTCTAAATTAAATACATAAAACATGCAGTTTTGTTTATTTTGTTTTTATTTTCTGATAGTAAATATGAGATCTCCAGTTGCATCTCTTCAGAGCATTGTTTCATCAAGCATAGTTTCCTCTTTCATTCAGTCTCTTGCAACATCTTACAGCTCCTGTTCTTGAGCAGAAAATCAAACACTGCATGTTCTCACTCATAGGTGGGTGTTGAACAATGAGAACACATGGACACAGGGAGGGGAGCACTACACACTGGGGTCCGTTGGGGGGAAATGGGGGAGGGACGGGGGGTGGGGAGGTGGGAAGAGATAGCATGGGGAGAAATGACAGATACAGGTGAGGGGACGGAAGGCAGCAAAGCACACTGCCATGTGTGTACCTATGCAACAATCTTGCATGTTCTTCACATGTACCCCCAAACCTAAAATGCAATAAAAAAAAGATGGTTAATTCTTAGTCCTTCTCTACTGATGGTTTGGACTCATGTCATACCTGCTGGAGCAGAGACTGTCTATTTTGAATTTTTGATTCAGATGAGCTGAAAACTACTGGCTATTACTAGCTAAAACAGGTGGTTTACCTATCAACATTTTTACTCTCTACATTAATCCTCTTATGTTATGTCATTACTAATTCCAAATTAGGGAGAAGACCAAAATATAGACACTTTGGTAAATTGCCTAAAATCACACAGCCATTTAGATTTAGGCATTTTGATCCATGTGGTCTGATCTTAATGTCTGTGCTCTTAACCTTTATACTAACTTGTTTGTAAATTTTTATCTTTGAACAATGTTGACTGATTTTCTTCATAGTCATTTTTTATTTCTTGGCATGAAAAAATTAATATTTTCATTTTTTATTTTTTTAACTTTTATTTTAAGTTCAGGGTACAAGTGCATGATTGTTACATAGGTAAACTTGTGTCATGGGTGTTTATTGTACAGATTATTTTATCACCCAGTTGATAAGCCTAGTACCCATTAGTTATTTCTCCTGATCCTCTGCTTCCTCCCACACACCTCCCCCATCTTCCAATAGACCACAAAGTTGTCATCTTATTATCTTTATTTGCATGTGCATTTGTTTCTGGTGGTCTGTCTAGATAAGCGAATTGAAAGATATGCTGAAATCTCTTTTCATGATTTCCTATATTTGGATTCTCTAGGGGAATAGAGTTTGTGATTTTTTAAAAGTATGTTTATCCAATTAAATCATATTCTTTGAGTTAATTTAGAATTAGTATCACAAGTATAATAAACTGTATTACAACATCAGCCCAAGAATATTCTCAACATGCAGAAGTTATATTTAATTTGTTGAATTGTGTAAAAAAAAATTTTAAACACAGTACCAAGCTTAATTGTAGGTATTTCAGTTTAATATCCATTTGTATCATGTCAATTTTTGAATTTATAAAATTTTAAAATTAGTTAAGAATTTCATAGAGATCTTGAATTTTTGTATAATATGCTGTCAAATATAATAAAATTAAACCATATTCTCTAAGAAAAGCTACAAAAATTTTATTTTACATTATTCATCAATACTCTACTGTGTATTTTACAAAACTTCAACAGGTTTTGTAGAACCAACACAATTCAAAAATGATGAAATGCTGAAATAAAACACCTAGTTAGTAGAAGAGAATATACTTCTTAGCCCACCTATCATCCATATAGTTTTGAATAAAAACATTCACCGCATGATGGTTTTTCATGAGATATGTTTGATTTCCTTTATATCTTGCATAGATAGGCGAGCCTATACTTTTAAAACTGTTAAACATGTTAAAGTTTGAAGAAAATTGCCAGCTTTTGTCTTTTTTAAAATTATATTTTAAGTTCTGGGGTACGTATGAGGAACCTGCAGGATTGTTGCATATGTACACACATGCCATGGTGGTTTCCTACCTCCATACCCCTGTCACCTACATCAGGCATTTCTCCCAATGCTAACCCCTCCCAACACTCCCCATCCCTCACTATCCCTCACCTAGCCCCCTACCCCCAACACACCCCAGTGTGTGATGCTCCCCTCCCTGTGTCCGTGTGTTCTCCTTGTTCAACATCCACCTATGAGTGAGACTATGCGGTGTTTGATTTTCTGTTCCTGTGTCAGTTTGCTGAAAACAATGGTTTCCAGATTCATCCATGTCCCTGCAAAGGACAGGAACTCATCCTTTTTTATAGCTGCATAGTATTCCATGGCATATATGTGCCACATTTTCTTTATCCAGTCAATCATTGGTGGGCATTTGGGTTGCTTCCAGGTCTTTGCTATTGTAAACAGTGCTGCAATGAACATATATGTGCATGTATCTTTATAATCAACACAGTCTGGTACTGGTACCAAAACAGAGATCTAGACCAATGGAACAGCTTTTGTCTTTTATGTGAAAAGCACTTTTTACTTATAGACTACTTAGTTCCAAGGAAATATTAACTATGTGAAAGATTGTTTTGCAATTGTTCTTTTCATATGTTTTAGTATAAAACAAGTGGTTTTAGATATGACAAGACGTGGTGCATAATGTCATGCATAATGTCATATTAGTTGGCTAAAATGTAAATTATAATATATAACTATGATTAATAAATAGATATATTTCTTAAATATATACAAAGTAAGCAAATTTTTGCATAAACAAATTGTATACAGAGAATATGCAGACTCTGGAAATTTATCAAATGCATTATAACCAAATAATGAATAGGAAGATTTAGCGTGGGAGGGAAGATCAGATGCCCTTTGAATGAATATTCGAGTTGTACTCAATGTTTTGCAATGCATTTATGGAATAAGCCCATGTGTCAAATCAACTTTACTTTATTCTAGCATCTTTGGATAATTTTTCTACAGTAAGCCCTGCAACAACTTCAGGTCAGTGTTTATGGCACTTTTAAAAATATAACTTTAGTCTTCATATCAAATTGTAAGAAGCTTATATTTGGTTAAAAAGAACAGTTCATCATACTACAATGTTCCTAATGCCTCACCACTTATGCCAGTGATACACATTTCCAATTTCAATGGTACTTCATATTTTAAACTTTATATACATATATATGAGAGATGTATTGTGTGTGTGTGTGTGTGTGTGTGTAACATCTCCATATTGTGTGTGAGTGTGTGTGTGTGTGTGTGTGTGTGTGTGTGTGTAACATCTCCATAAACAGCTCTCCAATCATGGTGCTCTGGTGATAAAGCCATGGCAACTGTGAGGTCACTAAGGGTCAGACGAAGAAAGATGGCTTCCAGTAGACATTGCACTTTGGAAGGGAAAATCAGGCTTAATGTTAACTACTCTATTCTAACACTTTCTTCACCCCTATGTTTTTGTAAAACTACAATTACATAATTTCATGGTTATAAAACTATGAAGATGTTACTTTTGATATAATAATTATGACCATTTTTATAATATTTGAAGTCTTATTTTTTAAGACATCCTCTTTAGCCAGGTACTACATTTTACAAACATTACCTATTTCAATTATCAGAATGATTTTGCAGAGAGGTGGTGATATTTTTCCATTTGAAAGAATAAATTAAGTAATAAGTAACATTCCCAGGGTCACACAGCTATTAAGTGTCAAACTCAGAAATCAAAAATATTTCCTTCTGATTCCAAAGCCCATAGTCTAAGCATATCCCATGTTTCTCTTTCAAATAGCATCAAATTCTCCTGCAACATATGAAATTAATGAATCCTCATATTTAGTTATTGATCATTGAATCACCTTTTCTTCTTTAGCTAGAAAATAAAAGATGAGTTAAAAATCTAAACACCTCTACTCTACAACTCTAAAGATAATCAAAAACATAAAAGATTTATTCTTAAATCCAAATATAAATGACATATTTCTAAATGAATAGACACTAATAATTCATAATAACTTTAAAATTATTAGGTTAAATATTATATAGAATGAATATACAATAAATTTCTGGTAATTAGTTTTAAATATATAATTATTATTTTAATATAATTTATCTTTTAGACAAGCTAATAACCAGCAGTCATCTGGCAACTCCAGGTAAGTTTTAATAATATTATTACTGTCTTTGAAAGAAAGTTTTCACTTACATTTTATTTTAGGCCCCTGAGAAGTCTCTGATGTCTTAGCAATTAATATTGCATGTATTTTATAGATAAGAAACCAGGAGCATAAAAGTGCAGTTTTAGTTCAAGATTTCACCAAAGTAAACAACATATTGAGGCCTAATGCCTGAGTTGTCAGAGTTCACTCCTATCCTCTGTTAATAACTAACAGAACTGTCATTATCTACTGAAAAGAATGTCACTAATAGGATCAAAAGGTTTTCCACCAAGGAAGCAGATTTTATCAGATATTAGGGACTTTCTGTCCTTTTATTATTCTCTCTGCATACATATTGGGCATGCTTTCTTTCTGTTGTTAACATGGTACTGGTGGCCAAAGAATTACCAAAGTGGCCTTAGATTCATTCATTCAATAATTTTTTTAAGTATCTACTTTATGCAAACTCTCAGTAGGTATCTTTGGTGTGCCAATTTCTCTGTATTTCTAGGAATTGTCCGCTGTGCTTCTGTCTTTCAATCAACTAAAATACCTTCTCTGGTCCTGACTTAATCTTCATATAGAATGTCCTGGGTGTGTCCCTAATCCCTTGAAGTAAATTCAATAAAGGCAATAATGTAGATCTTCAATCAGCTCCCAACAACACCACTACTGTGCTACATTATTAAAATTTACATCAAATATTATATACATAGAAAACACTTGTAAAATTATAAATGCCATTTTTAGTAGGGATAAATAATTCTTGAATAAAAATTGTTGGTGTAATATTTGAAAAGCAAAGCAATACATGAATCAATCAAAATGCTTTAGGAAACAAGCCATCACAACTCTAAAACCCATAGAGATCTATTATGATAGCATAAGTCTGTCTGCAGCTGTATTTAGGTTACCTCTAAACAGCACAACATGTTGAAAATTTTAAAAAACCTGCCAGTGAGTCCACATTCTCGTCTCCAATGTGGAAAAATATTTACAGCCTCTCAAATCCCCTTTCAACGCACTTTGAACAAACGCTTTTGGGATTGATAACGGCTAATTCCTTTGGTCTGAAAGTAAGCTGAAAAAGTAAGCTAAATATATTTTGAAAAATGCGTTCCTAAAACCTTGAAAGCCAGTAACAAGTACCCAAATTAATGCCTATTTTCTATTTGTTTATTGGTTCATTGAGTGATTCATCTAACACAAAGCCATTAAGGTCTTCTTAGTTGTATAAAATGTCCTAATAGTAATATGTAGAATGAATTAGGTGAAAAGAATGTTTTAAATAAAGCAAGAAAGCACTGGACTTAAAAGAAGGTTTTCTCCCTTACTATTCTGAAGACATATCTGTTAAAAATATAAAGAATTGGCTGAAACATCTGCCCAATTTCCTCTGGATAAAAAAGGAAATGATGAATGAGGGGTCAGAGAGCATGGGAAAGTATGCCACCCATATTTTTCTCTCCTGGTAAGTGAAGCAGAAACTTTTCTACATTTAAACTACAGAAATGGGGGTCAGTGTACACTTAGCCCTGTCTTTCACATTTTGTATAAGTAATCGATAGTCAAAATAAAGATCAAAAAGCAACATAAATTCTCAATCACTAAAAAGACATGGTTGAATTCATGCATTACCTAATTTCATCAATCAATCTACATGTATTTGGCAAGCTATCTAGCCTATTTGAACTTTATTATTTGAAAAATAGATTAAAATATATTTCTTAGAGGATGATCATGAAAATTGAAAGAGAGATAATACAGATATCACTGTACCATGGTCAACATGGTGACTCCCACAAAGAAAGAGTAGAAGGAACACCACCAATATTAGATCCCTACTCTTTCCCCCTTCTGAGTTTGATGAAACAGAATCAAATAAAAAAACCATTTGGATTCTTTATTTAAAAAACTCATAAAAACCCTGAATTTAAAACAAGATTATTATACTTGGTAATGTTCATTTTTATCTAAACTTTCATTTCACCAAAAAACAACTTTGTTTCTAAATGTTTCCTGTTATCAGAGACTGTATTGGATTACCTTAATCCTCAAAGCATTATTATGAGGTAAGTGAGTGGTGAAATATCATATTCTTTTTCTTTTTAGTGAATCCATGTACTACATGATTGCCCAATCATTCATCCCATTTATTCCTCTCATACAGCAAGATACTATATATTTATAGAGGAGAACGAGGCAATTAAATGTGAAAACTGCATTTTCCAAGCAGTAATTTATTATGAATATGCCTTCCAGGGATGTTAAGTTTATTCTCATTTTTATATGCCTGAAAGACAGAGTTTGAGAAAAATCAACAAATGCATGCATCATATACCTGGTATTAGTACTGTTATAAATTCTGTCAAAGAGAATTTTTGTGTGATAATGGTACAAATTCCATTAGGATTATGCGCTATACCATTCAACAGCTTTTGCTGACAATTACCTCAAAGTTTTACTAACCCGTTTAGAACATTAGAGAAGAAGGACTGGAACGGAGGTGACATGACACAGATTAATTTTTGGATCACGACAGAGTGCCTAGAGAGGGTGTTTTGGGCAACTGCTCCCATGTTTGAGGGATTTCTAGACTACAGCTTGTTCTAGTCCTTTTTTACTTACTGTGTAGGCAATAGCTGTAGAAAATAAAAAGTTTCACTATCATGGCCTTTCTCAATCTCATAAAAATGTATCCTTGCTACAATTCCACTGTGTGGAAGGGTTTGGGGATTGAAGAAAAAGAATAATTGGTTGATTTAGTGAAAAACATGAAAATCGGCCAAAACAACCTAAGGTAGAATTAAGTTCCTCAATTTAATTGCTTCAAGACTGAGATGCAGAGATTTTATCTGACACCAAATGTATTGTGACTTTAGGAATTATTCTTTTTCTGCACTTGAGAAAACAACATTTATATTGCTAAACACTCTCCTCTAATTTAAGGCATTCCTACTGACATGGTATCAAGACTACTAAAGAATCTTTCTACCATAATTTCAATTGGATTGAAAATCCATAGTCTTGCTTAAAATACATTTAAAAAATAACCCTAAATTTGTTCTATCACAGTAAATGAGAATTTCTGTAAGATGATACCTATTTTCCAATATAGTGTGGTGAAATAAAACTTTTCTCTAAAGGCAAACATTCATGGATGAAGATTCTGCTTCTACTGAGTAAGCTATCAGGATCTTGGGCTTAATTTGTCTTAAACAGTTTTGGGCACCAAGTACTATTATCCCTTTTCAAATAGTAGGGAAAATAAAATATATGATTTCCAAACCATGGTTTCGATTTATCATATTGTATATAACATCTCTTTCAAATTATTTGGAAGGCAAAAAATAATGGATTTTATTATTTTTACCCTCCACAATGCCTAACACAGAGCCCGTATTCAATAGGCACAGGAGAGTCCTAGTGCCAAATCACTGGAAATTGTTTTGACATTGGATCACTCTGAAGTAATCACCTTTGAGTGTATACTGAATTTTTCATGCTACAACTACAAATGTATAATTAAAGCCTTCTATCTGCTGAATTCCAAGTAATGCTAATTTACTGGTGTGTTTTCATCATATGTCAAAAGTTAGTGCCCTGAAGGTAAAATGCCACATAGATTACAGAAAACAAGTGCATTTTCCCCACTGAAGTTAATAATGCCTGATATTAATGAAATTTGAATAGTTTTGCAATTTGGCATAGACTTCTTAGAATAAAAGAAATACTAGTACAAAAATTAGGGAATAAAATGCAAAGCAAGTAATACTCAAGTCAAAAAACTCTAGTTTGAGAGGGCAAACCCATTTAAATTAAACTGGCATCTGGCTGGGTTTAACAGCTGATGTTTTAATTGATGGTTTTGTTAGAAAGTTTAATCATGTATATTCATTTAGAAAATGAAAGAGAGTGAGAGAGAAGACTCAGTAAAAAAAATTGACTAAAATTTTTAAATGGACTACCACTGTTAAAAATTACATTCATATTTTCTGTATTTGTTTTAATATGGGAAACTTCTGTTCCTCATGGACCAAGTCAGGTGAAGAGTGTTTATGAAACAGCCTGGAGAGATACAGAGTGCAACTTAAGATTCCAACTTTAATATTCCAACTTAAAGTCAAAATACTTCAAACTAGACTCAGTTTCTAATCTCACAATTTGTTCATCTCATAAACAGTATTGAGACTAATGGCCATAGTAACAGAATTGGTCTCTCCAGTCATTCAACTGCCAGTTCCTTAGCATTCCATTCTCCACCTCCACTAATCTTGTTCAGAAGCACATGTAGTTACTGAAGATCATCAATTTTACCTGTAAGTAGCAGTTGAGCCCATGTTCCATCTCCTCTGCCGTTGTGAGAGTTCTAGCCCTCATCAACTTTCACATGGACCATTGAAACAGCTTCTCGAATGGTGTTATTCACGTGAGGTTTTACATGGTCCAACAATTGCCTTTATGAAACATGGACTAGTCATATCACACATATATGTAAAAATCTTTCAATGCCATTGCCTATTGAAAAATATTCCTAACACTTAACAAAGATAAAAAGGTCCCCTAGAATCTAGTACCAGACTCCATTCTTACTGTGCCTTCCATAAACATTTGTCTAGTTTAGTGAGACTCATCTGTTTCCCATAAATTCATTTGCTCCTGACATATCACTAAATACATTCCATACAGCTTTCCTCTCTCCTCCTGGTGCATTTCTAGGCATTCTTCAAAAATAATTTAAATATGACCACTTCTATAACGATGTTTATAATTCTTGCCTTAGAAGGAAACTAACTGCTTAAACTTTGGTGCTCCTATAGCACTTTTTAAATATCTCTCTTAAAAAAAAAATTGTAAATAAACCAGTTTCTCCACTAAACTTCAAGCTTCATGAGAAGTATATGCAATTGGGTTTAGTAAATAATACTTTTAGTAAATAATACTTTTATTATTATTTATTGTTTTCCTGCATAGGAGTACTCTGTCATTTGAGAATGGCTCTGATCTTTACTCTGTCCTATAATTTTAGATGGGTATTCCATGAATTTCCCATTGGTTTATATTCATTTTAATTACAGCCAGTTAAAAATATCTAATTTAGTTCTATGTATACTCAGCAAAAATCTATAAATGTTTTTAATTAAGAATTAATTTAGTAGATTCACTGACATGAGCATATTTATTTTGCTAATTAATTTTATAGAGCAGAAAGAGAATTACAGATTTTTATATTTTTAAAACCCAGCAGATGGCAGTACAGTTCCGGCTTTAAGATTAAGAATGATAACCAAAAAGGAAAAATAATGCTGTTGAGTTAAAGATTTCCAAAACTTTGCACCATCACTATTACTGTATTCAGAGGCAAAAATATTCAGATTTCCACATTGGCCTGAAAAATAAAATAAAAAGTCTTTATCTTGTGGGCATGGATATGTCTTATTTTCAGAATTGCTCTTACATTTTCCAAGTTAATTTCTAGAAGTAAAATGTGTTTCTTGGTGCATCTAGACTTCAGTTTATGAAAGTGGGCAAGTAAAAGTCAAGACAGGCTGAGAGGGGAAAATTGTTCAGATTCCCTCCAGAAGATCGCATGAAACCCTGAAGGGGTATGTTTAAAGTGTACCCCCTAAGAATCTCTGACCCAAAGGAAAAAGAGATAGAATAACCATTAGATTTCTCATTGTTTAATGTCACAATGTACTGGAAATTTTTAAGTATTTTATTTTACTTTAAAATGACTTTGGTTGGTAAATTTACTCTACAAAATAGAAACGCTGACTTAAGCCACTATATTTTCAAATAATAAGCTTATAAGTAAATTAAGTGGCTGCTAGATGCTGCAGATGATGTCATAAACTTTCCAAAATTGCCCCACATGAAATTTCAAAATTTAAAACAGTCTAATTTTACAAATGATTGATCTTAAAATGAAATAAATATTTCTATGGCAATTAAAGAATATAAGTAAGAACCCCAATGGCAAAAAGCGTATTAAATGTTTTAACACTGTGTATATCTCATCAACTGGAAATTAATTTCAGTCATTTTTTAAAGGAAATGTCTCAATAGAGTGTCCGTCTGGTTCAAGACCTTGTGCTGATGCTCTAACATGTATAGCAGCTGATTTATTTTGTGATGGAGAATTAAACTGTCCAGATGGTTCTGATGAAGACACTAAAACATGTGGTAAGTTTACACCCCATTCTCTCCCCTTCTGTTTTATCCTCCCTCACTGTAGACACACAAACACACGCATGCACACACACACACACACACACACTCACACACTAATCTCGGAGACCTGAAACTACTGAAGAACAGTATAATATAATACAAAATCTAAAAATAATTGTATTAATATTTTCCTAAACTTAATAAATAATACTAAACATATTGATTAATTAAACAGAAAATTTTGTTGAATTTCTTTTGATCACTACAGAAAGGAAGATGTGATGTCTGTCATAAATGTGGGGATGGGTGTTGCTAAATTTTTGTCTCCTCTGATATACATTCTCATTTCTTTTCATGTTTTTTCACTATCATATCAGTCTTTTCCTTTCAACATTTTAACAGTACCTAACTCAATGAGAACCAGCTTGAAAATCTGATTGTTGCTCTTATTTGCCTCTTGTAGTTCTATAAATAATGGAAACAAGATATGAATAAGAAATTAATGCCCCATAAGTAAAACATCTGTGTTTCACTTGTATATTTTGGCATCTTTTTTTAGTGTCAATGACAATAATGTTATTTTACTATTATTATTATTATTATTATTATTATTATTATTTGACACTTAAGTAGCACTTACTGTATACCAAGCATAGCTCTAGTTGATTTAAACATATTTACTCTTTGCCTTATTTCTTCCTTTTAAAGCTGGATTCCACTTAGAAAAGTTTACTAGAAAGCAATATCTAAATAGGCAGTTTATTTTTGTATGTAACACATTGAAGAAGATTTCCACATAGAACTACTATAGTTCTCCTTTATTTGAGGTTTCCAGTTTCAGCTACCCATTGTCAACCACAGGCGACAATAGTAAATGGAAAATTCCAGAAATAAACAATGTACAAGTATAAAATTGAACGTCATTCTGAGTATCAGTATAATTGTTCTATTTTATTAGTCATTATTGTTGTTAATCTCCTATGCTGCCTAATTTCTAAGTCAAACCTTATCATAAGTGTGTATGTATAGGAAAAAACATGGTAGATACAGGGTTCACTATTACCCATGGTTCAGACATCCACTGGAGTTCTTAGACTATATCCCCTGTGGATAAGGGGAGACTGCTGTATTTGGATAAGTCTAACCTATATTTTTTTATTTAACAGAAAGCATTAATTGCACATTTTTTGGTATGGCTTATAATCAGTTTTAAAACTGACCCTAAGTACAATTAGTGCCCAAAGTGTGTTGAAGACTGTAGTTACTATTTGCTAAACGTTTCCATTATTTGGTACACTTTTCTAATCTTGCTTGATATTAATGGAAGATGAGCATTCCAATAATGACCAAAGTTTTAAAACGACCTCTCTACTTAGTACGTACTTTAAAAGCCAGGCAGTTGGTCTGTTTCCCAGTAACTACTCACAAAAGGCAACTCTACTATAGAGACTTCCACTAAGCAATCTCTTTCAAATGTTCTTGGATAAAATTCAGACCTTTAAAGTTTAACTACATGCTTTGAAGTTCACTCAGAACATATTGGAAGAAAGTGCAGTCTACAGAATATTTTTTAATCTATTTTGTATAACCAAGTTACTCAAAGATGAAGAAAGCAGTGTTCTTGTTTTGCTATGCTTTTCAGGCATTTTCTAAAATCTTTTCAGGGACAATATGATACAAGTGTGCCATCATGAGGCAACAAAGGTGATGTTGATTTCTGTTTCAAAAATAATAGTGTACGTCAACTTAGACACATGGCTTTAAGCCAATAAAACGACGATCTAGATCCTTAAATAGAGGAAAAGGCATAACTAACAAAATATATGATCAAATATTTGAAAAATATACTGCACCTATTATTTTGTTATTACTGTCTGGAGTTCATAATGTTCATGATAAACTAGTATCAGTACATATAAAAAAGACCCATAGGAGTGTCATGTATGATAGTTTATCCTAAAATATGTTTTAATGCTATGAATTAATGAATTATTTTTTCTGAGCCATTCTAAATTCAAGAGATGAGCCTCAATATTAGAATGGAAGTAATCATCTCAATTTGCTTTAAAAAAATATAGTCAAACTGCATTTTTACACGAGTATGTGAAGATTTTGTTTGTTTGTTTATTGAACCTTAGTAGTTACCAGCCTTTCGTGTCACAAACACTCTCAACCCTGCACACTGTCATTTTCCATTTTCTTGATTCCCTTTTTTGTTGTTTAAAGAAAGTATTGTGTCTATTTTGATAAATAAATTCAAATTATGTGTAGGATAAAATTGTTTAAATCAGTCTTTTTTATCAAGAGAGATTTCAAGATTACCAGTTGTTTTATTCATTTTAAGTTGCTTCATTCATCGATGATGGTGAGCCCACAAGCCTAGAGAATTTCAGCACCAACTCCAACTTCCAGCAGCATTATTTCCACCTGAAAGCCCCCATCCATCAATCTGTATTCACAGAAAAATTTACAAAATTAATTTAAGATAATTTTTTTAATATGTAGTTGACCTTTCTCTCTCATTGATTCACACACATTTTGCTCCAACTGTAAGCTCTGATTCCGGTTTGTGTTATTAATGTTGTCTTCCTCATGCAGCTTCCCTTTTAGTCTTTAATTATTTAGGTTTGCACACTTGCAGCTGACTATAGCTGAACCAAGATTTCTTTAAATTGTTTTTCTCTTCTGATTAGAATTATATCAGCAGGAAAGTTCACTTTTTAGCTGAACTGTAAGAAGGAAAGATGCTGATTCACAGCATTTAAGCCAATGCTTAACTCTTTGGAAGTTGGCAAGGGTTCTCATAGTTTGTATGTCTCACGTGTATATGCATAATAGAGCTTGGTGGGTGAGCGTAGATCATGTTTGATTTATATATCCTGGAGATTTCAACGACGTAAGCAAAGACATAATTAGTGAATACTGAGCCAGCAGAGGGAGCTCTTAGTGGGTCCTAAGTGCATACCCTTATTAATTCCATCCCATTTCAGGCAACGTTTCTGATAGTGCAATAGAACGGCTGATATTATTTGACAGGCTCATTTATCTTCTACTTAGAATTTTTTTTCTGATGCTGCACTAGAAAGCACTGCACAGTCTAAAAAGTCATAATCCTAACACCCAGCAGTTCTACTCATCCACAACTGTGTTATTTTTTCCTACAAACCTATCCTGCTTCATGGTCATTTGTACTATTAGGTTCTCCAGAAACATGGTGAAATTAAATTTTAAAAATGTATGAGAAAGCGCCTTACACAAGCCTCTATCTTGAAATGATAATATTTTGGCATTCTGAACTTTACTATTAGAAATAATTCAATACTATCACAATTTTATTCTAAATACCTTTTGAAATAGTCTCTATATTTACTTGTATGCAGAAATTGACTAGAGCCTAACTAGAGCAGAATTTGACCTGTAGAGTATCCATTCCCACTAAAACTTAGTACCACGATAGAAAACAGGACAGGAAAATTGATCATATTTTTTAGGACATGCTAAATAATATAATAAACAATCTTAACAATTTAAGTCAGTAACAGTTTGTTTATCACCCATATCATGGTGAAAGAAAGATGGCAAAGGGCTGTGCTCTATGTAGGCGTTCAGGATGCCTGCTCCTTACTTGCCACTGTGTCCCCAGAGTCCTCCACTGGATCCTTTACAACCAGTTGACTGACAAAGGAAGAATGTCACAGATAAATTTGGAAACCATATTTGGAAACAGACACAGTGACTTTTACAATCGTTCATTGGCCAACTCAGTCACATGACCTCATCTGACTGCAAGGGATTTGGGGAAGTGTAGTTCAGTCATGTGCTCAGGAAAGAACTGAAACAGGATTTTTCAAACATAGAACCGTCTTTGAAACTGGTGACATAACTCAGCTTTTTGGAAAATTATGACTCATGTTGTGCAGCACAAAGCTGTTGATACCTTTCCCAAAAAAATGTGTAGTGAATAGATGGGAATCATGACTAAACTTTTATCATCTTTACGAACAGGTTTTACAAATTCTTAACAGGATCTTGTTTTTTTTTCTCTCTCTCTCTCTCTCTCTCTCTCTCTCTCTCTCTCTCTCTCTCGTCCTCTTGTTTATTCTGGAATATTATTGCAAATGTGATCTATATTTTAAATTTAAGAACATTGAAAAAGATGGAAGTCTCTTAAAATTTTTCTATTTCTTCTTTATTCATGCTTTTCCCTCCTGCTTTTTAGTTCAAAGTGTGAGTGATGTCATCATGATAGTGATAGATATATAAATATATTGTAATATTAGGCAATATACCACAGTATGCGGTTGAATGAGACTGCCTGGCTTTAAATTGTTGCTGGTAAGCTAGGAGGCCTTATGGTAGTTATTTAACCCAAATATGCCTCAGTTTTCCTTATAACGTCACAGAGTTGTTATGCAAATTACACTTACACATATAAAATAGCTTTAGAAAATGACTGGCACATAGTAAACACTCCGTAAATATTAGCAGTTGTATTTTAGCACTGATAGGATTGAGCACTCTACCTCACTGGTCCTTAAGTAGAACTTAAATATGAACTTTACAGTAGCAGCAGACTTTACCACACGTCCTACAACTTGGAGTTCATGTTGTTTCTTGGCCAACTGTGATTTAAAAGCTTTATAGATCACATCAAATACAAGCAAATACCATTTTGGTTTTTATGGTCTTTGAATCTAAGGCATTAATTGCCCTACTTTTTTGGCAACTAGAAAAGTTTTGCAACTAGAAAAGTATTTAGCAAGTCATTAAAAAGTCACATATTTTACTACTTATCTTCAAATCATTAAAAATTAGCCTTAATTTTCTTTGTTTGTTGCAGTCATTATTATACATAAGGCAATTAAATTAACTCAACAAACCACAATTTTTCTTTTTTTTTTTTTAGTGATCTATGCTGCATTGTTCAGAATTTAATCTTTGCTTCTTGAATTATTATCTTCTGTTATCTTTGTTCTTTTTCCTGTTCTTTATTTCTTCATTCTTTTCTTCTTCTAGGAATCAGGTTGTCAAATCATAAGCTAGCAATGAATTCCTAGGCCGTTGTTTTTAAGCAGACTTTCGATAATAAACTTAACTTATCAAAGTAAATGTTTGCCCATTTTTAAAAAATATGCCAAAAATAGCAAAAATCCAATAAAAACATGAAATTTTTATTAAGGTTTCTATCTGCTGTCTAGTTTGTAATATTTTTATTTTTATATGCATAAAATATTTTGTCATAAAATAGCTTGTATTACGTAATTTGATAGAATCACTTTATAATTTTACAATGAGCTTTTTCATAGCTCAATCTTTAGAAGTAGCTTACTCTAAACACTCAGATTCCTAAAATGACATTTTGACATATTTCTTTGATTTTTCTATCCTCCATTAATGCTTCTCCATATGAAGAGTTTATAATATGCAGAGATAAAGAACACATTGTAGGGATCATAATTTTAGAATATTATGTCAACATAGCCAAGTAACTAACCAGGAGGAAAATGATGTAAGAAAGACTAAAAATTGTGAAAATCAAGGTGGTTTTTTGCATATAAAAAAAAAAACAATAATCTTTAAGTAATAGTTCTTGGTTCATGCCTTCAAGAAGATTTTAATCTAATTTGAATGAATTCATATATAAATTAAAGGCAACTAATAATGCATGATATTAAGGAGAGGTTCATGAAATAAATCTACTATAAAACTTAAAGAGGAAAATGAGTAATTATGGAAAGCAAAAGGCAGAATCAGGAATATTGTATGAAAATATTGAAAATATTGAGCTAGCTATTCCCAAAGGAGTAACTCCTTTAAAACCTCTTTAAAAACTTTAAAATATGGGCTAACAGATTTGTTGGATGGAATTCTGCACAGGCCACTAGTACTATCATTTTTCTGGCCTTATTCTAATCATTTTCAAAAAACAAAGTACTTTGTACATATATTTGAAATTCACCTAGCTCCAATTTAATTATAAAAATAAGACAAAAAATGACTAGTTATCTGTCTAAACTGGCAGTTTTCAAGTCAGATATATTTATTTCCTTGCAAATATGGAAGAATACACTTAAAGTGCAGCTTAGAGAAGGGTTTTAGAAAGACAATGCTTTTCTAAGGTACTCTATGATAGGATGTGTATGAGTATTTGAAAAAGGCTAATAAGTTTTAAATGTGAAATCTTATGATCATCTGGTCAATTCAGTTTTATAAAATAGCGTTGTAAAGATTCTGCCATGAGTGTTCTGTGAAATGTCTTGCTGCCAGTTTGAATCCCAAGATTGTTTTTGTGTAACATTAATTGGCATTGTTTTGCAGCCACAGCTTGTGATGGAAGATTTTTGTTAACTGAATCATCTGGGTCTTTCCAGGCTACTCATTATCCAAAACCTTCTGAAGCAAGTGTTATTTGCCAGTGGATCATACGGTAATAAACGATCTTATATTTTCTGTTCTTAAGTCATAAAGTATTTCTCTGATGCAACGTGTTACTGCTTTTTCAGTAGTTTTTTTAAAGAATCATTGTTTTCATTAACTATGAAGCAAAGACCTCCAAACTGACAGACTATACAAAAATTATCATTTTTTAACCTTTTAGAAAGGTATTCCATGTTATGAACAATACCATCTAATAAATTGGGTCATCTCATTGGGTTCTGAAGGAAGTTTCTCTTTCTGTAGCTGACATTCATCATGTGCTGGCAGGCAAACAACACACACTGTAAATCATGACAAGTGGAATTTCACATCACCTGCATTTGTCTGTAAAATATTTTCTTTCTCATTTTGCCACTTACTGTGTGGAAATCTCTAAAACATGATTCAGTTACAGCAGATAAGAGCAGGGAACAGCCTCTATATATGTCTTTTTTCCTATATCTTGAAGGACATTTGGATCAGTCAATATATATTTCACCTCCATATTCTTAACTCAATTAATCAATCCAATCATGAAGATAATCAAAATAATCAGGCTGCTGACAGCTGACCTACCCTAATGTTTACCTAAGCATTTTCACAGACAACGCCTTACGTTCCTTCCAGATGTTCCAAGGAGAAAAAGAATTTGTGCTCACATAAATATGAGATCCTGAAATAAATTTATTAAAACTATTAAAAATGTTACTTCTTATAGCCTTAAATATGTTAACATGCAATGTAAGTCTCCAATAAAAACTTGCTTGTTAAACTGCTGAATATTTCCCCAACAGAATATGCAGAATAAGTACTCCATAGAATTCACTATGAAAAATTACATTCTAGTTAGTTCATTTCATTTCTCTTAATAGCTAAATGGGATTATGTTTTACCAGTCTGATTGATAATATGTAATTTTAATCATTCTAATGACTCACTAGAAAACTAGGGCAATAAATATAATAGCTGATTAAATAAAGTTCAAAAGTAGAGCCTCGGTTTCTTGCCAAACAGTATGAAATGACCCCAAAAATAATCATCACTGTAGACATATTTCAGAAAAGAGATGTGAGAAAGAGACTGTTCTATACACACTTACTTGGCATTGTTCAAGGAAAGAATCTCTCTCTTTTTTTCATTTCTATTTGGAGTGCAGCCCCATGTGAGATATGTGATATAACTAAAAACACAATTTGCATTGTTTCATGCTCTAGGCTACATGTTATTGGTATATCAAAAATAAGACTATGAATTAAAAATGACAGTTCTAAGTAATTCTTGCCAGTTGAAAAATTAACCAAGGTGGAGAACATTGTTTCCACCCTACATTTGTATGTTTAGAGAACAGCCTCTATATGTCTTTTTTGCTTTATCTTGAATGACTTCTGAATCAGTCCATATATATTTCACTTCCACATTTCATGTCCACATATATATAAACATATAAATGTAAGGTGAAAACAATATTCTCAACAATATATATAAAACCTATATACAAATATTTTATTCTCCTAATTGTGTGTGTGCGTGCGCACACATGCACAAACACACACCCCATCACATCGAACTTACAAGAAGCATTTATAAATGTCTATTAGCGTTGCTCATTAAGAAAATAAAATGTTAACTTTATCACTTATTTGAAATGTCAATAGAAAGCTGTAGAAAATCTTAATGTCTTTCACTGAAAATGGAAATAACTTATAAATGTAACTAATCTGCATAATAGTTCTGTACTTGGGTACAGAACCATTTTTTATGCAATCTTGGCCTTAGAAACTAAATCTCTAAGTATTACCAGCCCTTGTAATCCTTTCCTGGGTCCATTTGCAGATGATCAAGCCAACCTCATGCCTAAGGAGGTTTAAACATTTTCACCTATACGCACTTTTATTTCTTTCAGCCATCTCCCTTTCTGAGGAGCTCAGAGGAACTTTGTACTTACAAAGCACTTGAAGGAGTTATTTACACTTCTTTTTATAACACTTTAGTAAGACAGTGGAGTTGTAAATAGAGGTTTCAGTAAGTCTCCCCTCTCTGACACTATTATCTGAAAATAAAAATAAGTTTAAATATCAAATTTAAATTTTCTGGTGAACCTGTCACACTTTTCCTTCCATGCTTTTTTAATGGCAGCTGTATAATTATTTTTTATATCAATAAGAATGCACTAGTTTCTACAAAGTATTAGATAATACAGGGATAATATAGGGATGAATGAATTGATCCCTGTCCTTGAGTCATATAAATTCTGTTAGAAAAGACATTTACGTATGTAAAGAACAATTATAGAATATAATAGCTGTCACCTTGATGGTATGAAAAATGTACATGAATTGTAAAACTTAATATAGTTAAAATATTTATATTACCCAAAGTGATGTATAGATCAGATGCAAGCCCCGTAAAATACCAATGGCATTTTTTATAGAAATAGAAAAAAAATCCAAAAATTCACCTGGAGCCACAACAAAACCCAAGTAGCCAAAACAAACTTGAAAAAAGAAAAATACCTGGGGGCTCACACTGATTTCAAAACATATTACAGAGCTATGGTAATCAAAACTGTAACATACTGACAGACATAGAATAGAAAGCCACAATAAAGCCTCACATATATGATCAAATGATCTTCCATGAGGGTACTAAGAGAACATAAAGGGGAAAGGATAATCCTTTCCACAAATGATTTTGGGAAGACCTGAAGTGGTACAGCTGCTATGGAGAACAGTATGCAGTTTCCTTAAAAAATTAAAAATAGAATTCCCATATGATGCAACATTCCCAATTTTGAATATTTAACTCAATGAAATATCTGTACTCTCATGTTCATTTCAGCATTATTTACAGTAACCAAAAGGTAAAAAGAACCTGAATGTCAATCTTCAGATGATTGAAGAAAATGTGATATATATGTGAATATTATTCAGCCATAAAAACGGAAATCTTGTATATGATACAACATAAAAGAACCTTGAGAATATTATGCTAAGTGAAATAAGCCAGTCACAGAGAGATATATACTACATGTCTTCATTTACAGGAAGCATAGAAAGTACTTAAACTCATGGAAATGAAAGTAGAATGGTGGTTGCCAGGGACTGGGAGGACTAAGCAATGGAGAGTTGTCATTCACTAATACAGATTTCAGTCTTGCAAGTTAAAAAGTTCTAGAGATCTGCTGTACATCATTGTGTTCATAATTGGCAATAATGCACTGTACACTTAAAAATTTAAGAGGGTAGATATCATATTATGTGGTGGTACTCACCACAAGAAACCACATACAAATTCTAGGATGCATTAAGAAATATGACAACTGCTAAAAACGTGATGATCTATTTTTTGCTTTTCATTTAGTGTAAATCAAGGACTTTCTATTGAACTGAGCATTGATCATTTTAACACATATTATACAGATATATTAAATATTTATGAAGGCGTAGGATCAAGCAAGATTTTGAGAGGTAAGTTGAAACAAATATATAATTACTTATGAAAATGAAATTATGTGGGTAACTTTCTGGAGTAATGTGTTTTCCCTTTGATTTTGAAGTGAATATTGACTTGAAACTTACAAAACTAAAAAAAAAAAGAAAACAGAATTGTTTCTCATTATAAAAATTAGAAAATTAGTACTCTGTCATCTTCATAATAAAACAGTTACATTTTAACAATGTGGTCTTCTAATTAGTATCTTAAAAATTATGTGAAAATTGTCAAAGAATTATAATTATATATCTGGTTACCATACATTGTTTAAATGTTAGTCCCAATTAACCAAATTTGGGCAATCCCTGAAAATTACTATTCTGTTTGTCTCTGACATTGCATAGGTTATAAATTCACAGAGGTGCTGTCATTTTTTATGTGCACCCTGCTTCTCAGTCTCCTGCAGGCTAATACTGATAAAGCGTCTGAAACATTGTCTAGCCCAAGAGGTAGGCTCAGTAAATGGTAGCTGTGGATGGATGGTATTGTAACTACATAACCATTTATCATTATACACGGACAGAGCTAGAAGCTGAAAAGAGGGCAGGGGATGTCCTAGTAATATACATCTGCCCATGCCGCTTTGTTCCACCTGGCCCCAAAGTGCACAGACGTATTCACAGTAGCCAGTGGAATTAGGGGCAAAATTCCAGGAGGAAATAAAATGAGGATGAATTACAGAATATGGAAATAAAGTAAAGGGAATAACTATTTTTCTCGTATGTTGGAGAAATAGTTAAGTGTTGAGCTAAGATAAGGTTGGTGACACCTGTGATTAAATTTTATGTATTAACTATTTATTTTAAGAACTTTGCCTTTCAAATTGTATTTGTGGGTAATGAAAAGTGAATCCTATTTAATGATTTGAGAAATATTTAAGCATATACTAACAATATCTCATTTTTATTAGGTATTGATGTGTGGTACTCTGCTGAATAATCAATGTGCATTTTCTTATTTAATATTTTCAACAAATCTGCAAAATATGTTTTACAGAAGAGTAAAATGAGGTCTAATATGTTAAATTACCATAAGTTCACAATTATGTAAGTGTTGGAGGCAGAAATTAAACTCAAATTCTCCTACTTGAAACACAATACAATTATTCTTTGTGCTTTAAAAGCCCAAGTACAAATATCATAATGAGTAGATATAAAACATGTGAACTCATGGTAAGTCACATTTGATCTTAAAAAATGGGCCAACTATTTCACAATCTATTTCTGTAGCTGATAAATGCGGTTTCCTAAAATTATGATCAACATAAATATTTACATAAGTGGACAAATAGGCTACTTCATATAAATATTTCCGAGGACTAATGTGGCATTAATAAACTTTAGCATATATTTTTTACTTGCACTGTGTAAAGGAGTGTTGTCAGCACTTTGAGTTCATTCAATAAACGATCTCTCAAACCCATTATGTAGGTGTTATTAATAATGTCTACAGAAGATAAAATCTAAATTTTTAGAGGTTGGGGGTAAATAAGTGGTAGGCACAAGATAGTCTCATTTTTCAAATACTATAATTTATCTAAATACTATTTTCAGATGTTTAGAGTGTCAGCAATTTGTGAATAAATTTTAAAATAATTAGGCATAGTGATGTGACTAATGCACAATTAATTTAAAAAAATGTAATAAGAAACTGAATATCCAAGCAGAAAACATCTATGAATGTGTAGTTACAGCATAATAGGTAGTTGCAGGCTGGGCGCGGTGGCTCAAACCTGTAATCCCACCACTTTGGGAGGCTGAGGCGGGTGGATCACGAGGTCAAGAAATCGAGACCATCATGGTCAACATGGTGAAACCCTGTCTCTATTAAAAATACAAAAAAATTAGGTGGGCATGGTTGCACGTGCCTGTAATCCCAGCTACTCAGGAGGCTGAGGCAGGAGAATTGCCTGAACCCAGGAGGCGGGGGTTGCAGTGAGCCGAGATCAGTGCCATTGCACTGCAGCCTGGGTAACAAGAGCGAAACTCCATCTCAAAATAATAATAATAATAGGTAGTTGTTTAATTTTAAGGTATTTGAAATAAAAATTTATTTTGAAGTTTTAAAAATTAAATATTTTAATTATAATCTAAAATATCAGAAAATGCATTGGGTGTTAAATTTTAAAATTAAAAATTCTAACTTTTTCTAAGAAAACTAATAATATCTTACCTTTGGCATCTAGCACGAAATCTGATGTATTGTAAAAATTCAAAGTTTGTTTATCTGAATTAACATCAATTGGTATATATTTTTATCACATGGTATTGTAATATATAATCAATGGAGACAAGCAGTATTTACTATAACTGTAAAGTTAATTTGTATGAAAATAATGCTGATACTTTTATTCTCAAGTCACAAGATCATCTTTCTCCAGATGTTTTAGCAATTTCTTTATGTGAAACAGGGTTACAAGATTTGCTTTCATTAAGTTCCAATTCAAAATTTATAATCTCAAATACTGTTATTATTTGTACAACATTGGAAAAATATAAATATTTTACTTAGGGCAAGTTGATTGTATAGAGACAATATAAGGAAATACAAGCATCTATTATCATAAAATACTTGTTACATATCTGATTGGATAAATCAGCATAAAAAAAATCTAGAGGTATGTTTCCAGTCATTTTAATCTATAGTTGTGATGTGAGAGTTCTCTAACTGCTAAAAAGTATCAGAGAAATATAGACATTACATAAAGTGATAGTGCAGTAGTCTTCAAATAATTATGAAAATTGAAGTAAATCAAAATAGAGTGCAGGGAAAGTTATTTCAAAAGTGTTTTCTTTAAGTTGCAGTGATGAAAGTGTAATATTAAATTCAATAGTCATAATAATTATTAATACTTCATATGAAAGGGGTAGAAGATGGTGAGTGAGCTTACTTAATTTAGTGTTCAGAAAAATCTATAAAAGTTTGTATGCATCTTCAAGGAAAGACAGCAAAACTGCCTGGGTTAGCACACTGAAAACGGTTTCAAAATGCTTAGCCTAGGAATTGTGTTTCTGAGTGCATAGCTGTTATGCCATTCTTTATATCTCAAGTGCTTAGCTGGTACTCCATTGCCACAGGTCTGCTGACAATATATTTCCAATACTGTAGCGTTACACTGTGTATGGCCATGCTTATACTGAGGCACACACTAGTGTGCATAGCTATAGTCAAAGTTACATAATAAACAGTGTGTATTCCTGAATTCTCAACTTATCCTACAACAAAAATAATCACATTGCATATATGGAATTAATATATGCAAATATTATTCAAGGTAAAGCATTTTCAAAAAATTTTGTGACTTTATTAGGATACTTTCATGTATACTCAGAAGCACCCTTACACTCACTTCTGTGGAAAAGTTTATTTTAGCAAGCACTAGCTTTGCATAAGTCATCCCTTCCAGAAGTTCTCAAAGATTCCCCAATCATACTGGCTGGCAAAATTAAAGATTCCTTCCTGAGTACTCCCATAGCATTTTCCCTCATATAATTATTTTATTGCTATTCTTATTTATTTATTTATTTATTTTATTTTTTGAGAAATAGTTTTGCTCTTATTGCCTAGGCTGGTATGAAATGGCATGACCTCAGCTCACTGCAACCTCCGCCTCCTGGGTTCAAGCGACTCTCCTGCTTCAGCCTCCAGAAGTAGCTGAGATTACAGGCACCTGCCACCATGCCCAGCTAATTTTTTTTGTATTTTTAGTAGAGATGGGGTTTCACCATGTTGGCCAGGCTGGTCTTGAACTCCTGACCTCAGATGATCCACTCGCCTCAGCCTCCCCAAGTGCTGGAATTGCAGGTGTGAGCCACTGCACCTGGCCTATGGTTATTTTTGTTAACTCACTAATATGAATTCTTCTAACAGAGGAAACTGGTTATTTCTTTTCTATGTCATCAGCACTTGGCCCCATACTAAATTTATAGTGAGCACTCACTAAGATGTGTTGACTATATTAGAAATTCTTTTTATAATAAAGATGGTACTCTAGTTGCAGCATTTTCACTCTTATAAATTGGGTAATATAAGTAGTTTGAACTAGATCTGTTCAATCATACTGTGTAGAAAGTTGGTCTTCCCTGTCCATTGCCCTTTTTCCAGATTCTCCACATCTTTATCATACTTTTTCTTTTCTTCTTTCACAAACCTATTCACCAGAACCTTTGCTGTTAGTAGAGAAATGATGAGTTAATTCACATTTAAGTGACTGCTTGATAAGTCGGTATAAATTGCCATCCATAAAAGTTTTAGATTTTAGTAGAAAATGTTAGACTTTCTTAAGGAATTAATGTCAAGAAGTTATTATATCTGTTATGATATATTAGGGGAAAAGTCATCCTTTAAAAGATATTAGGTAATTGGTTTTTTTCTCTTCAACAGAAACCCTGTCGCTTTTATGTAGCCAAATTCTATTACTCTGTTTACACATATCTTGACATCTGCCCTCAAATATGGATTAAAAATCTCCTATGCTTTGGCACAATGACAGAGGTACAGAAAACACTAAATTATAATCTCATCCTTTTCAAGGTTTACAGCCTAGTTGGTGAGATAGAGAAGCAAAAGATAGAATTCATTGAACATTTAGTATTACCAGTCACTGTCTTACATGGGAATTACTTTTACTCCTTATCACAAATCTTTATGGAAAAAACATTGTAACACTACAGAAGAAACTGAGGCACAGAGAAGTCTGTGGAACCAGAACTCAATCAAATACGGATGCTGGGGCCCCTGCTCTTAACCACTACCCTCTGTTACTCCCTGGATCTGTAAGATATGTGGCTTTCACTGGATCTATGGTCCTGGGACTCTTACTAAGCAAGGAGACTTTAAGAATACCTGATGAAAGTTTTATTAAATCTCTACGGAAACATATTCTACACTGTTTTAGGGGATTTGTCTGAAGCAAGTTAATGGAACTCAAGGTAAGCTCCTGGACTCTTTTTTCTTTTGAGAAACAGTCTTGCTCTGTTGCCAGGCTGGAGTTCAGTGATGCGATCTCAGCTCACTACAACTTCCACCTCCTGGGTTCAAGCATTTCTCCTGTCTCAGCCTCCCAAGTAGCTGAAACTATAGGCACCCAACACCACGCCCAGCTAATTTTTGTATTTTTTTATTGCATTTTAGGTTTTGGGGTACATGTGATGAACATGCAAGATTGTTGCATAGGTACACAGATGGCAGTGTGGTTTGCTGCCTTCCGTAGAGACAAGGTTTCACCAAGTCAGCCAGATTGGTCTCGATCTCTTGACCTTGTGATCTGCCCACCTCAGCCTCCCAAGCTCCTGGATGTTTAGACTAGTGTAGTTCTATTAGATAACGTAAGAATTCAACACACTATGAAATCCAACACACTAATGGGGTATTGAACCACCAGCCATATTCAAAGCCAGCCAGAAGTCATTGTCCAGGAGAATTCCATTGCCATGGCGTAAAAAGCAAAATAGAGGCAGATAGGTTTAAAGCTAAGTTTCAGGACTGTTCACATCCCTTACGTGACTAACACTTATGAACTCCAAATGTTTTCAGTATGAAAAGTATTTAAATTACACAATTATGCATGCTGGCATGGCAACAGTTTAAATAATTTATATAGATCTTCATGAAAAAACATTGAATGCATGACGCATGTTTGGCGTGAAAACATTAAGATGTGAATTAATGCTTGTTCATGATGTCCTTTCTATTAGATTATACCGAAATTACATTGCATGTATCACAATGTTTCCTGATTACTACATAATCACAGGATATCCAATAGTTCATAAAAGTGTCTCTTTTCAGAACTCAATAAATTACTGTGGTTCATTTTCTCCTATCTGCAAGTAGGATGTTTTTTATAGACCTGAATCTGATGCCCTGTTCAGATTGTCAAACTAAAATGCTAAAGCATTATTTCTTAACACTTTTATTTTATTATCACCTCCACTAAGAAACCTTTTAAGGCCTTGTTATTTTCCAACTGCTTCTTGTGAAAGTCTAATATTTCATATACACTATATTCTGTGTATCTGTTCATGGACTCTGGGTGTATCTGAGCTTTACACATTTAAAAATTAAAACTGTTTTTCTCCCGTAAAAAACAGTTTTTACCCCCCCTAGAGGCAAGATCACCCTATTTGAAAATGTATGTACTATACATTTTTATAAAACAAATGTTATATAACAATGATTTAGTAAAGCATCTTTTGAAAGCTTTTTATAACCTAGGTACTATACTAACGCTTGACAATCAAGAATGAAAAAAAAAAAAATCCCCTAAGTAGCATATACTCAAGACAGAAAAATGTTGCAATCAATATAAAATGCTGTAGAAGCAATCTTAAGTCACCTAGTATTATTTTGAGGTCTTATAATTACAAGCATAAAGAACCAAAGAACACTCTTTTTTTTTTCTATTACTTTTATCCAGATTAAGCCCCTCTGAGTGTGACACAATATATACCTGACAAAGCTAAGCTGACTTTAAGTTTTAAAACTGCGTCACTGGTGTTTCGTAGACAAACTTTCTCAGTAAATGAATGCATCTTTTCTATGTATATATAGTGTATAAAGCTGATAATTAAAAATACCTTTTTTATCAAACCATAAATATGTATAATAAGTTGAGATTTTCTAATGTTTGAGAGAACAGATATTTCAATAAAAATAAACATAAGACTAATGCTTTTAGCTAAGTGGTATCAGATAGATATTTGGATAGATCAATAGATGGATGGATGGACAGCTAGATGAATAGATTGAAATATAGATATAACAGTTATTTATTTTATTTTGTAGCTTCTCTTTGGGACACTAATCCTGGCACAATAAGAATTTTTTCCAACCAAGTTACTGCCACCTTTCTTATAGAATCTGATGAAAGTTATTATATTGGCTTTAATGCAACATATACAGCATTTAATAGCACTGAGCTTAATAGTAAGTATTATTTATTTTTTAGCTTTTTAATTTTTAGATGCTTTAATGTTATAATGAAATTTTAAACATACCAGAATCTAAAATTTTCATGGTGTAAGTTTTTAAGTGAGTATTTTTATATGCATCTTTCTCTTCTTAGAACTTAAAGAGAAATGAGAAATTAGAAAATGGTTTACATTTTTCAAAGGAATCAAGTAACCAATTTGAGAAAACTTAAGAAACCAATATAAAATCAAATTAAAAATTTATTTGCTGCAAGCATTGCAAGTTATAAAATACTAACATTAAACTAACTCAGAGAAAATTCTACATAAACTTAATTTGAATCAAGGTATTAAAGTTAGTAACAGGAGGGAGAAAAATATGGGACAAAATTTATGTGGGTGAACCAGTGGAGACAAGATGTAAAACTTAAAGGACAAGAAACTTACATTTGCTAATACGATGATGGAATATAAGAATCATGTTAATTTAACACAGCAACAAAAAGCTGTTTTTATAAAATGAAGTAGAATGCAAGAATTAAGATTAATTTTAAAAAGTAATGATTTTGTGTATGTCACTCAAGTATAAACTGTATAAGATTAGATTATTTTCAATACAGTCTAATACAACTGCTCATATTGCAGACTAAATTTGTTTTCTTGTTTTTCATTCACAGATTATGAGAAAATTAATTGTAACTTTGAGGATGGCTTTTGTTTCTGGATCCAGGATCTAAATGATGATAATGAATGGGAAAGGATTCGGGGAAGCACCTTTCCTCCTTTTACTGGACCCAATTTTGACCACACTTTTGGCAATGTGTCAGGTATAATTCACATTTAATTTATAAATCAAAAGGATTTAAATTCATAAATCAAAAGGAAAAAGATATGTGTTGTTCTGCAATTTAAAGTGAGCAGTATTAAATGCAAAAGTCTTTTTAGATTTTTTTTAAATTATGAATTAAGTAAATAAAAAATGGTAACCAAGCAGTCAAGTAAAAGCGTGTTTCAAGAAATATGTTGGTTTACCGTGTATATTCACAAAATGTTGAAAAGTACATAGAGGCCATTAGAGACAAGACTAGGTTGTTATCCTAGACTAGGCACTTATTAACTAAGTAGACTTGTGTGAGGCAATTAACTTTTCTGAAATTTGGTCTATTTTGTCTTAATTTCATTTTCTGACTGTATGTACATTGCTAGTGCACAGAAATAAAATGGATTTTTGTATATTGATCTTATACCCAGCAGCAGCCTTGCTGAATTTGTTTGTTAGCTCTGATGTTCCTTTAAAGAATTACTTAGCATTTCCAACATACGAGATTGCATAATCGTGAAACAAAGATAGATTTGCTTCTTCTTGGAAGCCCTGTGGAAGGCATGGTAATAGGATAGAGTTGTGATTTGTAAGTACATTTTTTTATCTGAATGAGATATTAGAAATAGATGCCACATGGAAATACTAGAGACATATTGCTGAGAAACCAGAAATCATGGTGAAATATTAGAAGGTAAAGAACTTGTAGTAGGAAGATCAGTCATGAAATTATTGGAAAACATATTCATAATACCAAATATAATCACTGAAATGAGAGTTACAAACCTTAGAAGGAAAGTGTAAAGACAATTACAAAAGAAAACAGAGTGACAATTTGTGCATTTATGCAATTTTCTTAGGCAAAATTCATCCTATAATATGACTTGCTGATAGATTACTGATGAGAATACTATTCTATTCAAACAAATAAATTAAAAGCCAACTCTAACCACCTGTGGTTCTAGGCATTAAAGATACAGGTCACATACAATCACTTCTATAAAGTCTGTCCAAAAACCTCCAAATTCAAATCTTTTTTTCCCTTAAATATTCTAAGTACCTCTTCTGTTTTTCCTATCACATAGAATTATATTTACTCACTTGTTTCTTTTTACGACAGTATTCTTTTCAGAAACAAAAACCTAGTCTCTTTTATCTTTGAATTTCTAGGACATGTATTTTCACACTGCAATAAAGAAATACCCAAGACTGGATAATTTATAAAGAAAAGAGGTTTAATTGACTGACAGTTATGCATGGCTGGGGAGGTCTCAGGAAACTTGCAATCATGATGGGAGGCAATACAGACATGTCTTACATGGCAGCAGGCAAGAGACAGTGAGTGTGTGTAGGAAGAAACACCAAACATATATAAAACCATCAGATCTTATGGGAACTCATCATCACAAGAACAGCATTGGAGAAATTGCTCCCATAATCCCATGACTCCCACCAGGTCCCACCCTCAACACATGGGGATTATGGAGATTACAATTGGAGATGAGACTTGGGTAGGGACACAGAGCCAAACCATATCAGACATTCTCAGTGCATGAATCTAATTAACATGCAAAACTATTTTTGAACAAGCAAATAAATATCTACAACTTGGAAGCAAGTTATTTCTGAAAGAGTTACTGACTGAATAAAATAGTTTCTAATGTAAATAAAAACTCTAAGCACATTAGCATTGTAATTTGTTATTAATGGCCACTTCTATTACAGAGATGAATATTCTTGTTTTCAGGACCTGAAAAGTAAGTGGTTAATTTAATATCAATTGTCAGTGACATTTAGTTAAAGGATGACTATTCCTACTTCTTTAGACAATGGCATCCCTAGAATATCAAAATATGGTTCATCACACTATTTTAACTTAATAAAAATAGTTTTAACTTAATATTTTAACTTAATAAAAATAGTAAAGTGACTACTTTTAATCTATTTTAGAGTCATCAGTAAAAACTCCTTCAAATTTATTATTTTGTTCTTTTATTTAAGGAGTGTTTATTGAGCTCCAGGCCTTATTCAAGTCATTCAGAATATATCTGTGAACAAAATAAACCAGATTTTCTGCTGTCACGAAACACAAATTCTAACAAGAAAAAAAAAAAAACAGAAAAAAGTAATTAATTGTTGCTTGGTGTGTTAAATGTGAATAAGTACTTTGGGAAAATGTGAAGGTGTGTAAGAGGGTGGGGAGGGCAGGGGCTAAGACATTATTGCAAGTTAAAAGAGGATGATCAGTAAGTCTCATGGAAAAAGTGATTCTCAAATCAAAACTTGAAGAAATTGAAAGAATTAGCCACACAGATTATTCCATGCAGAAGGAACATGAATGTTGGAAGACAGTTTGTGGGATGGCAAGAGTATTGAAAAGAGACTGGTGGATGGCCATTGCCTAACCAGAGAAGAGGTCATGAGACTCGGATCAGTAGGAGTGAGGTCATAAGAAAAGGTCAGATTCTGGATATATTTTTTAACTGAAACCGACAGGATCCAGCTAAATGAGACACCAGTGTGAGCCTTCGCATAAAAAATGTGCTCTATGTAAATGACCAATCCCATAAGACAAAAATGTTTAGTATTGAAGATGATATGAATACTCTTATACATAATTCATCTTCTTTGAAGAAGTTATTTCCCAGAGCCTGATTCTCCATGGAAAAATGACTAATTGCACAGCTGAAAACGAACCCCTATGTGATAATCACCCCAAGCCTCTGAAGGGGTCTGGCCTAAAATAGTCAAATAATCTAATCTTTGTTTTTCTCTTTACCATAATAAAATAGTTTCTACTAGGAAAAGAGTGGTTAGAGGAAAGTGCAAAAAGCATTTATATCTGTTGACTGTGACAGATACCTTTTATGTAGTTGAAATCTTTGATGTTCAAATTATCATTTTTCTACTTTTATGTCATCCTAATAAGAGATAAAATAACTCCACTGATATTTGAAGAGTATAAGTACATTACAGAAGAAAATGGTTTTAGATTGCCAACAGATTAAATAACTAGGGAAATAAGATGAAACTGACCAAAGTGAAACAGGTTGAATGTCACGTGGAGGTTTTAAATAGTTGGGTCTAAAATGAGGTCTCAGGAGAAAGTGGAGTAGCAGGAGTTATTTAAAATTAGACAAGTCATATAATAAGGACAGATAATTAATAGGTCCTCTTCAACTCTCATACCTGTGATTTCATAATCTACCAGTCATTCCTCTCCAAAGGGCATTTTTATTCTAGCCTGCTTTTTTATGTGTCAGAACATCCTATCTCTGAAATACAAGAGAATTAAATTTCTCTTGATGTTCCCCTTACCCAGGCAAGGTTTGCTGTTTGTGTTTTGTTCTTTGCCTTTACTTTAAGTGACAAGAAAGACTAAATGAAACAGATAAACTTTGAATTAATACTGCCTTAGATAAGACCACCTAAGTCTTACCTTTCTAGTCCCCCCGAAGAACTCTCCCTGGTGGAGCAATGGCTTCTAAATCTCTGCAGCGTCGGCAGTCAGGGTTTCTCTGTACCTCATAGAAGCAAAGGGAATTGGTGGAGAAGGTGGTGTGGAAGCAGGGCAGCATCTTGAGGTGCTCAGAAGTGGCCCATTTGTTCCAAAGTCTCAGGAAAAATGAGGTTGGTAATATGGACACAGCTCAAAGAAATTGCAGTTGTTTGCATTCCTGTAGGAAGTAGTATAGTTTAGTACGTAGTAAAAACCATTAAAATATAGACCCTGGAGTCTCAGCCAGTTTTAAATCTCAGCCCTGCCATTTAGGCAAGTTTTCTAACTTCTCTTTCTGCCTCAGTTCCCTTGTCTGGAAAGTGGGGTTGATGACAACAGGACCTACCATTAGAGGCATGTAATAAACATTAAATTGATTGCTATGTTTAGAAAAAACTCAGAGAAATGCCTGGCACATAGGAAGTGCTACATAAACGTTAGTTATTAAAACTACTTTCTTTTCATGCCACAAAAGTATTCAAGAGACATAAATTGGCTATGGTACTGTTCTAAGTCAGATGCTGGGGAGGAAAATAGTTGCTCTGCTCAACTTTCAAAATTATATTAGTTCTTTTAGATATCCTTATTTAATTTAGCATATAACCTTTTCCTGAAATAAGTGTAACTCTAATGTTTTAAAAGTAATATTTTCTTGTCTTTCCTGTGATGTGAGTTTTACAAACAAATATTACTATCTAAAATTGATAGAATCTAGCTGAATTTGGACCATGTATCAATCTCATCTTTCAATAATATTTACTATGTTCAGTTAATTTTACATATGTACTAACAAATCATGAAACAATTTATGTCAGCCTTTTTCCTTCTTGAGAGGGATCTCCAGGTTCTCAGGAAATTCTACCATCTCTCCAGTTTCTGCCATCTTTATATCAGCATCAGTACCAGCTCAGAAGTTTTGCTTTTTATTTGGGATGTTGGGTGGAGAGAGGTTAGGTTCAATTCATGAAGAAATAAGCAGGAAAAAGTGATAGAAAGAAGTTTTAAGAAAAAACTAATAGTTGAAAAAAGAGATTCATTGTATGCTTAAGATAACAAAATGTGGTCAATTTCCTGGGATTTATTTGTTTATTTATTTAGAGACAGAATCACTCTGTCTCGCAGGCTGGAGTACAGTGGCACAATAATAGTTCACTATAGCTTCAAACTCCTGAATTCAAGAAATACTGCCACCTCAGCCTGGGATCACAGTTGCATACTACCACACCCAGCAATTTTTTTTTTTTTTTTTTTCTGTAGAGATGGTCCCGCGCTATGTTGTCAAACTCCTGGCTTCAAGTGATCTTTCTGCCCTGGACTCCCAAATTGCTGAAATTACAGAAGTGAGACACTATGGCTGGCCAATATCCTGGGTTTTAAGCTGACCGGGATTCATTCTAAGAGCTCTAGAAGACATTTCAAGAATGTTGAAAGATTTTAAAAGAAATTTTTTTCACCATATAAATTCCCATGTGGTTATGAGAAATATCTCTTTAATTATTTCTTTTTTTGTAGAAATTTAATAAATTTAAAAGCAGAGCAAGTCTGTAACAAAAATGTATTCAACAACAGACATCTAATTCATACCGAGACAAAAAACATGAATGAGGTATCTTTTCTTTTTCCCAAAAGTTCTAGCAAGTTTAAAAAGTCACATACAAACATAAATGAAACATACAACAGGCTGGGTGCTGTGGCTCATGCCTGTAATTCCAAGATTCTGAGAGGCCAAGGCAGGCAGATCACCTGAGATCAGGAGTTTGAGACCAGCCTGGCTAACATGGCGAAACCATCTCTAATAAAAATACAAAACTTAGCCAGCCATGATAGGTTGAGCCTGTAGTCCTAGCTACTCAGGAGGCTGAGGCAGAAGATCACTTGAACCCACAGGAGGCAGAGGTTGCAGTGAACCAAGACTGTGCCACTGCACTCCAGCCTGAATGACAGTAAAACTCCATCTCAAAAGAAGAAAAAGAATTATATATTACACAACAATATACCGAATGACACCAAAGAAGTACAACGTGCAACTGCAAATAATCGCTTTTAATTGGGAGGCTTTCTGAAGGAGATGACAATTTGATTTAAATGACCTCAAAAATTTGGTAGGATTTCAACAAGGTACACTTGAAAGAGGCAGTGGAAGGACATAAAAGTAAGTGAAAAAGAAGACCCAAAGTGTCAAAAAATTTCTAGATGTTTGGAAATATTAAAATTATCTAATTTTCCAGAAGTGCTATATGTAAATACATAAATTACAAGTGCAATGGCTGGAAAATGTCATTAAGGTCATAAGAGGGGGGTCTCAAATATCAGACTCTATTTGTATTTGGTTTAATAAGAAATAAAGAAATAATAAAAGATCTTGAATAATGGGCCAATTTGGTTGTGCATAAGAAAGCATTATTGATCAATGGTGTAAGAGATGATTCCCATGAAGAGTCAGAGACCTAGAAGTGAGCTGCCCTTGGAAGTAGTGACAATGATGGTCAGTCTTCAGTAAAAGTTCCATATGTTGGAAACTATTCCATGTTACTACTCTGCCCCCGGTGAGATAATCCAACAGACATGCTGTGTGAATGGGAGTTTCCGTACTTTAAATGGAAGCAAACTGAATGTACAACTTATTGACAGCTTCTCAAATTAAAAGGCAAACTGAAACTGTACCTTATTAAAATTATTTAGGGAAAAAAATGATAGATCATCTTGAGAAAATTTAAGAGAGATATAATAGTGGCCTTTAAACTTTTGTAGAGCTAACAAATATTTCATATTGTAAATAGTCCTACAAAGCAAAATTAGATATAATAGGTGCATATAAGCTTTTTTAAAAAAAGGAAAATAATTTTCTAATCATGTTGAAATGGAATGGGCTACCTTGGAATCCAATAATTTCTTCTGCATCTGACAAGTGATCTCTTTAGGCAAAATGTCATAGATGAAATTTAAGGACAATTAGTGGTTAGACTAAGTACATTTTTATGTAACTACAAATCTCTACTCTTAAACTTTAGCATTTAATAAAGGATTTTATATATCTTCGAATTTGTTAACTAAAGAATTTAGCTGATATCACAAAATAGTAATTTAATGTTATATATATTTTACTATATTAAATAATATTGTGTATGATATTTACTCTAGGAAAAATTTATAAGGTACTATATTCTACATAATTAATCATGTTTTACCTGATCACTGACCAAAAAAAACTCATAGTGTCATATTTTGATCATGCTGAAAACTCCAAATATATCATTGCTTAATAAGTGAAAAACAGATTCAAAATCTTTCAAATTATTTGTAACTATTGACTGTGAACATAGCCAAACATAAATAGGAGATAACGTGTGTTTTTATAATTGTAGCTAATTAGGAGTATTTCTGAATAGACTAACCATTTGAGTATTTATTCATGATATTCAGTAGTATTTTAATTATTTCTTCCCCAACTATGTTCTAAGTAATCAAAAGTAAGGTAAATTCAAAAGGGATTTGGAGTTACACATTTAGAGAGTAGATTCTGGGACCTCTTTTCTATATCTAAGCCACTCTTCTCCATTCAGTTATATAATTAGAACGCTAACAAAATAGCTAAGATATGTAATCATGAAATATTACAGCATTATATAAAATAGGAGTAATGTGTTGATAATATAAAATGTTAAACACATTATTATTTTACAGTTTGTCATCTAAAGCAAAGAATGTGTACATATTACATTTATTAAGCCCCTTGTCCATAATTCCACCTTGATAGAACACTCAATGATTTTTCCTTCATTGGTCTAAATATGCATTGATATATCTACAGGCAGTTCCACTAGCTTCTTTCCTTTATGCCTTGTTCTTACTTTGCATCTCATAAATGAATGAGTTTAAAGCTTATATGCCACATTGCCTACATTTTTCTGTTGGAAAGTACAAGGGAGAAGGTGCTTGATTTAAAGTAAACACTAAATTTCAGCATTTCATAAAAAATTGCATTCCAATCAAATTAGATTAACTCAATAACGTATTTGCTTTATGTAATATTTTGTTGCATGATTCTTGCTTCCTGTCATAATATGTGAGCAGCAAACTAAGAATAAAATAAATTCCCCTTAGACAATGTTCAAGATGTCCTTATCCCAACAGCTCTTAACAAACTTCAAATGACTAAAATCACTGGTTGGAATAATGAATTTTAGACCAGAAAGCACTTTATGCAGTGGCTTGTGCTATTTTTAAAGCTTTTATATGGATTAGCATGCTTCCTGCTCCTCGGTGATGTGATTAGTTATCATTCAAAGGAATAAAGGAAGATAAGACTTTTAAAATAAGGCAAGTTTTTATTTGGAGATATGAAGTGTTCAGTGAAACATAAAACTGAAAGTCTTAGAAACTTTTAAATTCGCCTTCAAATTTATATTTAAATATGTGTGTATGTTCTGAGTTAGCCCACCAGCATGTCTAAATATCCTCATTTACTGATTGTCTCTAAAGATGTGAATTAATCAAAATGTCTAGTAAATAAGAATGAAGTCAGGAATTGAACTAGATAATTTAGTGACTCATAATAAGTCAGAATTTTATATATCCTTGGTGACTCCACTTCAAGGCTCTTGTTTAATAAAGTGGGAGGCCCAGTGTTAAGCTATTTTTGTCAATAACAATCTGTTATGGCAAAACGCTGCTTTTTGAGCTCCAGTCTAGTGTCCTGACCCCTATATCAAAATATGTTTCCTTATCCTTTCATCTTAAAGTTTTCCTTTCCTGCTTACAAAGTCTACATGTCACACAATGAAAATTCAAAACTTAAGTGAAATAAAACTTCTTCGGTTATTTTTATAGGATTTTACATTTCTACCCCAACTGGACCAGGAGGGAGACAAGAACAAGTGGGACTTTTAAGCCTCCCTTTGGACCCCACTTTAGGACCAGCTTGCCTTAGTTTCTGGTATGTTGTAGACACCTGTTTAAATCCTGTCTTATTTAATGGGTAACATTGCCTTGCTAAGGCCACCAGGCTCATATTTCACTAAAATGTTGGCTAAAGTTTTAATGCAATACTATTACTTTCCCAATTGACAAGCAATAAAACATTGATAGACTCCCCTCCGCATCCCCAGCAACTTCAAAACCCAGAAGGAAAAGGGTGTTTCAAAGAAAGAAAAGAATTTATAAAAGCTCTGAAATTGACTTATTCCAGTGTAGTAGGAATTCAAACATTTTTGCTTGTTTCCAAACTAGGTATTACATGTATGGTGAAAACGTCTATAAATTAAGCATTAATATCAGCAATGACCAAAATATGGAGAAGACAATCTTCCAAAAGGAAGGAAATTATGGAGAAAATTGGAATTATGGACAAGTAACACTTAATGAAACAGTTAAATTTAAGGTTTGCAAAGCACTTTGTCATTTAAATTTGTATACTTTTTGTGATAATACAATTATATTTAGAATGCAGTGAAAAAAAAAATTTGTTTTCTGAAGATAATCAACTCACTTTCTCTACTTGCCCAATCTACTTCGTATCTTATCTTTGAGCATTTTTTCATTTATTTATTAGCTTATTAAAAACCATTATTGAGGAACAATGTACTAATGAAAATACAGCTTATAGTGGTCCATAAAATATATTGAAGCCTTTTAGAGTATTTCAGCTTCCTTCAGCAACTTTCCAGCATAGACCAACCATCTATATCTACGTCCTCTGCCTACCTACAATTTCCAGCTCTTCACAAATACCACCTAGGCCAGCCCTGCCCTTTTCTATGTCTATGCTTATCAGCATCCACCCACTCTGCCCAAGTCTGATTTAATCTCCACATATTTCCTTTAGAAACAAAGTCTATGAGCTGTATCATTGGGAAGTCTCTGATCATTTATTTCACATTAAGGTGAACTAATTTTTCCAATAACACTTTAATGTGTTCTCTTCCTGAGGGTCTTTGCAATTAAAATATAGCATAATAGAGGCTACTAGTTTGACCAAATTAATAATGTTTTAAATGGGTAATTTCAAACAAGAGAGTATCACTTTCGGACGATGTATATTTGGAGAGACACTGCCATCATCAAAGGCTTCAGATTTTCCCCATGACTTGGTATAAGGTAGGCAATAATTAATGATTCTCAACTGTGTGCCTCCCATCTTTCTTTCTTTTCTTCTCTTCCTTTTCCCTTCTTCCTTCTGATTTGATCCTTTTATAGGACATTTCCTCTCCAATTTTGTTTTCTGGTAATTTTAAAAAGGGCAATGGAAAATGGAATGGCCAGGGAACAAAGAAAAAGCAAAAGTGAGGAAGTCAGTATTGCAGTGACCAAACTTGGCTACACTCACTGAGCACCTTTTCTAAAGTAATATAATTGGATCCATTTTCTCACAGCTCATCAGGTGCTGCAAGAGTGTCAGCTTCTACAAATATGTGCACTTCGGCTTTGCCATTTTGTTGTGAAATCATGAGCAGGTCACCATAGTCTCCTTGAAATGTAATTAGGTCATATGTGTAAGGAAGAAAATAATACTTGGAATACTGTCTGGCATGAAGGAGGTGGAATGAATAAACAAAGGAGTGAATAAATGAGTGTTTAAAATTAAATAAGATAAATGTATATATACCATGTGCCTAGCATAGCAATTAGCATATAGCAGACATTCAATATATATCTTTCTTCTCCTACATAGCACAGGGCCAGGAAAGTACAGCTAAAATACCCACTGTCCCTGAGAACCTAATATGTTACCTCTGACCTCTGGACCTTTCTTCAAAGAGTCTGGTTCTGTGTCCTCTGGGTGTCATCTTTACAAAATATTCCATATCAATACCCTGGGTAAACTGTGACCAGTAACAGCTGGCCCTCAATTATCAGTTTTACACTCATGCTTTTCTCTTGTCCCCTCCATCTTCATGTAAATTATCTAATCTGTGTGTTTTCTCTTCAGCCTTGTATGCTCTTAGAAGGCAGAAAGCCACCTGAATGTTTAATATTGCACAAAGAAGAAATTTGGGAGAAAATTGCTTTCTCCTGCCAGATAATATGTATGCACGACAGATTACAATGGAGTATGGACAATATCATAAGAAAGGCAGAGACAGACAGAGAGGCAGAAACTGTGACAAGATTGCCTAAATCAGAAGGAAGACACTATTGGAAATTTAGCCAGCATGAATACATAACAAAAGTGTTGCGTTCAGCAGAAGGATTTAAAAAGCATGATCTGTCAATGTAGTTAGAGGTGACAATATTGATTCTCTAGAGGACATTGGGCCCACAAGAAGAATCAAGTCAGAGAAGATTAGAATGGAATCAAATCATTTCATATGCATCTCTGAATTGCAGGTTGCTTTCAATGCTTTTAAAAACAAGATCCTGAGTGATATAGCATTGGATGACATTAGCCTAACATACGGGATTTGCAATGAGAGTCTTTATCCAGAACCAACTTTGGTCCCAACTCCTCCACCAGAACTTCCCAGTGAGTAATCTTCATGTGTAATTTGTCTTATTAAACAATTAATGTCAAGTGTGGAGGCTTACAGCTATAATTCCAGCACTTTGGGAGGTGGAAGCAGGAGGATTGCCTGAAGCCGTAAGTTTGAGACCAGCCTGAGGAATATAGCAAGACTCTGACTCTACAAAACAAAACAAACAAACAAAAATTAGCTGGACATAGTGGCAAATGCCTACAGTCCCAGCTATTAGAGAGGCTGAGGCAGGAGGGAGGGCCTGTTGAACCTGACAGATTCTGTTGTGAGCTGTGATCATACCACTGCACTCCAGCCTGGGCAACAGAGTAAGACTCTGTCTCTAGAAAAAAAACACACACACACGCACACACACACACACACACAAAATAATAATTATTTTCAGGTAAATCTTTCTTTGGCTTATTTTCATTATCTCAACGTACTGTTATTCTTTTTCCTGAAAATCAAGGACTTTAAAACATAAGCCAAATGGAGGCTAGCAGAATATTACATATTACACATAAATCCACAATGAAAATCACTCAATACTTTGTTTTGGAGCATATTACGATCATTTTAGTATCTTTTTATTTCTGAATGTAATAAAAGTGCTGATTTACATTTTGTTTTCACTGGAACACAAACAAATGTTGCCTTGGCCATGTGGCATGGTCTGTAGTCTCTGGGGAGGGAGCCTTGAGGTTTCTGTGGCCTTTTTATTGAGTAATTTGAAGAGTTTATTTAAGTCTGAAACCCACTGTTTCAGTCTTAACTAAGTCTATTTTTAAATAATCTAATAGCAATGACCAATCAAGCCTGGACTTTGAACATACATATCCATATCACCCAAAATATTTTTGTCCTAAATAGTACCTGTATTAGTCAGAGTTCTCTAGAGGGACAGAACTAATAGGATAGATGTATATATGAAAGGGAATTTTTAAGGAATATTGACTAATATGATCATAGGTGAAGTCCCACAACAGGCTATCTGCAAACTGAGGAGCAAAAAAGCCAGTCCAAGTCCCAAAACCTCTAAAGTAGGGAAGGTGATCATGCAGCCTTCAGTCTGTGGCCTGAGAGCCTCTGACAACCACTGGTATAAGTCCAAGAGCCCAAAAGCTGAAGAACATGGAGTCCAATGTTTGAGAGCAGGAAGCACCCAGCATGGGGAAAAGATGAAGCCTGGAAAACTCAGCAAGTATAGTCCTTCCACATTCTTCTGCCTGCTTTTATTCTAGCTATGTTAGCAGCTCATTAAATGGTGCCTATCTAGACTGAGAAAAGGATCTGCCTTTCTCAGTCCACAGATTCAAATGTTAATCTCCTTTGGCAACACCCTCACATACACACCCAGGAATAATACTTTCCATCCTTCAATCCAGTCAAGTTGGCACTCAATATTAACTATCACAGTACCTTTGTAAAGCTTTGGAATATGTTCCCTTCATAGAGCCACTCATGCTATTGCTGAGAAGTGATCACAATTTGCAATGTCGTATAAGATCTTTTTACTCAAAAGAACCAAATAGAATCTATGTCTACTTATGCTCTTAAATCAAATTGGAAGCATGACATTTCTTAACAAAACCCATTACCATTCAAATTATCCATGTCAAAGAAGATACTCACTTCATACTATTTTCAGGTTAGGAGTTTGACAGAAAAATGAAGAAAAAGAAAAATACCTATGATAAATAATAAACACCTGTTTACTTTCTATAGGGATTTTTTTCACTGCACTGTTGTATTTATGCAAAAAGCAATGCCTTTGTCTTTGGATTGTGGTTGTTGGAAGCTGATTTAGCTCTACAGCTTGGCTTGGGTTAAAACCCATGTATGTCTTGTTTTGTCATGGATCTGATCCCACAAACACAGTACTTTTTCCATTTCTCATTTTCTTCCAAGCACACTTAATACTTCTACCAAATTTACATCAGCAAATCAGTTTGGAGAGCCTATCCAAATTTGGTTTACTTCTAAACTATGTATTTTTCTGCTTCTAATCTTCAAGTAAACAAAAAAAAGGCAGACTTGTCAGATGAGTGGCTTTAACAACGAAAAGACTCTAACAATCATGGGAATTTGAGAACATGAAACAAATGAGTTCCCATTAGGTTGAAGATAGTTATATTGTCATATTGGTCCCAGGTCAGCATATTGAATGAGTACTTATGTTCCACCAAAAGACTGGTTAACTTTTACCATCTTGTGTGTTAACATGTTTAGATGTTTAGCTGAGTGATGTATAAATTATTCAATACTTAAACATTCACTGAAATTTTATAAATATCTGCCATCTGTAAAACACTGCAGATGAAATGTAAGATGCAGTAATAACTATTAATACATGAAAACATCATATGAATAAATATTTATAGCAATGTATAATTATGTGCCCCTAAAAGTAATATACAAGAGAAGTGAGTGATAGAGGACTTTGGAGAAAAAAAATGTGAGCAGAGGGCTTTAAGGAAGTGTGCAGATAAAAAAATGAAATGATACTTATAAAATTGAAGCAAAAGCAGGAAAATACCATACATTCTTATGTAATAATATTGGTCATAAAATTGCGGCAAGATGTGAGTTCCTTCACAGCAAACTCTAGGTCTAATTTACCTTTGCTTTCCCAGTGTATGATTGATACCTAACATCACATAAATTGGTGATAAGTAAGTACTATTAGAAATAGACTAAACTTCTCTTTCCTTCTTTCTCTCTCTATTTATCTCTCTCTCTCTGTCTCTCTTTCTCTCTCTCTGTCTCTCTCTATTTTGGATGTACTCTCATTTTGGTGACATGAAATTTGTGCTAAACAAAATTTTGGCACCAAAACTAAAGCTTGGAAATGATGGTAGGGATGGATTTAGATCGTATCTATCTATATGATCCTTATAGTCTTCATATTTATATTCCAGTCTGAAAAAGGTAACACCTTGATGTCAAGAGAGTTTGGTGTTCCTGTCTTTTAACAATAGGGTATAATGAAAAAATAACTCCTCTGATTTGAAAATATAAACTTCCGAATCTACCCAGAGTTTATTTGTTCCAGTTTCCAAATGGTTCACTTCAAGATATTTTTCGCAGCAGAAAATGTTAATTACCATCAAATGTATTCTGAACAATTTCATTCTAATATCATTTGCAATTGGTTCAGTGAAATTCTTATTTGAGCAGAGCTTTTTTGGTTCCAGATCACTGACTTGTTTAAGCAGAAATAAAAGGAAACTATGGCTGACTGGCTAACAGCCTTTCTTTGGGTTTATGTAGAGCATTTAAAGAAGAAAACAATCCCAGACCAGTGACTGAATAATAAAGCTCAGTTTCCTCCCTCTTTCCTAGGGACCCACATTGTGCCTAGTTTGAGGAAATGTATGTTCATTTTTCATAACCACAGAGATTCTTCCATTTAATGACTTTAATAACTTCCTGCTGCATCAATTCTACAATTGTTACTCTGTGACGTTGATATAAATGAATTTAAATGTGGGGATTGCACTGGGTACACTTTAAGAGAGTAAACATTCCATTACACGACTATTATGCCAATTTGCAAACCAATTTTGATGATTCATGAAAAGATACCTACTGAATAGAAATGGGCATATACAAAATGAAATCCACATTTTAGGCCCCTGGCTTATTTCTGGGGATGTTAAAACTAATTAAAAACAAGCAACAACAATAAAAAAACTAACTATGTATTAGATATTTCAATATTCACTCTTTATTTTCATAGTTTTTCTTTATTTTGTCATTTCTAAAGCTATTTTCTACTTCCAAATGTAAATTAAAGGTAATTTTGCATGGCCACGTCCAGTACCTCATGCCTGTAGTCCCAGCAGTTTGGGAGGCCGAGTGGGCAAGATCAGTTCAAGCCAAAAATTTAAGATTAGCCTTGACAACATGGCAAAACCCCACCTCTCTTTAAAAAAAAAAAAAGTTAATTTGGAAAGTTCTGTAGATGTGACCTTATACTTAGAGCTAAATAATCTAAGTTCAGTTCTTCATGTAGATTTGACTCAATCAGTACCTGCCTACCTCTCTTGAAATTGATGGTCATATTCAGCAGATGAAAAACAATAGCCACTTTAATTAATTTTCAATAATTTTGAAAATTAGCCACATTTTACATATTCAAACATCAATCAATAGGAGGTATTATTTCTCAAGCTACGTCTATTAATTCTATCACATAAAGTATCAATCAAGAATTATTTTTCCCATGCTCTCATTTCTTGTTTTGCCATGAATATATTTAATTGGAATCCTCTTATTGTAAGTGAAAGCTAGGCTCTTCTCCTTTCCACTCCACAGTAAGCACCTCTGCATTAACACATGTTTCATGGACATCTGAAGCTTAAGCATGAACTAAAAATGACATGCATCAAGAAAAACATCTATTCCTGACAACCACTTTGCCAAGTACTGCATGCAATTTACACAGTATGTGCAGTGAAAATCCCTATTGGTATAGTAAAAAATTTATCAAAACACAAGTGTTTGAGAGAATAGCTCCCATAAAAAGAAACATGAAGGAATTCAGCACTATAAATGAATAGAATTCCCTGTATCAGACAGGCTATTTTATTTTCTTCTCATTGTCTGGGTAAGGATGTTTTACCTAAGGACACAGCATGACTGTGATATCTGGAATTACATTTCATGAATCTTTGGTTTCTCTATTAGAAGTACATGCCACATCCCCACTAGAGCAACACCATTAAAGTAAATTGTGTTATCACATTTAGAATGACTTAAAGTGTGTTTACCAATTCTTTACAATCATGTATATTCAGAGAGTAACTGATCTATTTTATCAGGCCAAGGATCAGAGATGTCTTACTGCTCAGTTTATTAGATAAGAAATCATAATTTAAATGTATTTCAAAAAGTGCTTAAGTATTTTAAAGGGATACATTTTCCAAGACTTGTATTTAGTAGAAAAATCCTAAGAAAACTGCCTGCCCTGACAGGCTTAACAATTACACTCGACAACATTTGAGTTCTTGTTATGTGCTCATTAACATTCTACCTACTCATCTTTAAGTATAGCACAGTAAGCGTTCAATTATGTGAAAATCCAATGCATCCTCCAAATGTCAGCTATTTACTATATCAAGAATATAAGGTTTTACATTTTTTCATGTTTCTTGAGGATAAAATAAGACTAATGGTGAAAAACAAAAATATGAAAACATTTTTTAAAAAACTCACCATTGGCCACTGCTAAATCTGTGAAATAGGAAGTTAATTTTTCCCAGTCTTACATCTGCAGTGTAATATTTGTCTCTGCAGTTAGTTACACATTCCCTCCTTCATTGGTCTCATTAAGGATTAAAAGAAGCATTTCATAGCAATGTAGGATTATTAAAATTAAATGTGCCGTGTGTGTGTAGAGGTTATAGGACTGTGGTGGATCCTTCTGCAGAAATCTTTGTAAATTAGTCATGATTTCCTGTGGAGAACTTGCCCTTATTCTCCATTGTTGTTCTTTCTTTGGTACACATGCCTTCCTCACCACCCCATGCGCACTCTCTTCTTCCTTCTAGGTTTACCCATCCTTGACCTTACCTGTCAGTGTATTCATCCTCTGCCCTCCTTTTTAAATGTACATATCAGGTGCCACTTATTGACACTCAATTTAAACCCTGTCTATGGCAGCGTGAACCAGTTGGTAGAAATTATTCAAAGTTTAATCGACCCAATGGGAGACAGTAATGGGATAAGCTTGAGATTAACCATGATGAGGTTTTGACTTTGACACTAGGTGGATGTATATGGCATTAACAAGCAAGCGAATTTCTGTAATCATTAGATTTTCCATTTAAAACTGAAAATATAAAAGTAATTACCTCATCCACAAGGTTGCCTTGAAAACCAGTACTAAGTATGCCAGGCAATGCATAGGAACATTTCTTAAATTAGCTCTAATTTTACAACAATCCAAAATACCCTTAATATATATCTAGTAGTCTCCAAAAGACAGCCAACTCAGAGCCACAATTTTAATCCAGCAACTCCAACAAATCCTCCCCTTATACACTGTGTTCTCTCCCCATATGCGATAACGTGCATGGAAACGCTTTTCAAACAGCAAGGTTTGTTAAAATATTTTATTACTTTGAAGAGTTTATCTAAGTCTAGACAAACCTAACCCTGTAAGGCATGTAAAACAAGACCATGCCCTATCTATTTACAGAACAGGGCAGGTTGGCAAGGATACTGTATGGAGTCAGAGTAATTGCCTTCTCTGGCCCGTCATATACATCATGAAACTCAAATTTAAGGAATGTGTTACATACAAATTTTGAACATGCACATAAATTTCAGGTGATTTATATAAATAAGGCAGATGATATATAAAAAAGAGATTAAGGAAGAAGATATGGCTATAGGCAATGTTGTAAATGTAGAGACACTTGATTATCCCTCCCATAATCTGATTTCTAGTTTGTTGGGAGTAAATAATCCCAGTATTATGTGCATTTAATATAGAAAAGAATATATTTATTCCAGTTGTCTGCATTCTTCAAATCAGGTTACTTTTTTTCTTCTGGTCTTATTTTAAAACATAATAATGGTAACAAGAATTAGATACAATTAGAACATTTAAAATAGTTGATTTTTTACATTACTTTAGAATTTGTTTCGAATAAATCAGAAGATAAATATAAAGTATGTTAAGAATTTTATGAAGTTAATCTACCTACTTAAAGTGTTATACTCTGAGCTGGAAGATCCATGCTCTATTGTTTTAATAAATTTGCCTTAATAAGTTACCTGCCTCAACTTGGGCTTCTGCACAATGTTGGTTACCAGACTGGTCCAGGGCATTTGTGATGCAAATAAGGTTTCATGTTATCTCCCTTTCCTTACTATCAATATGCAGAATGATGAAGCTTCCCCTTAAGACTACCAAAAAAATAAATAAATAAAAGGGAAAATCAAGAATTACAGAATTAAATGATTTACTAGCCTTTCTCATTAGAGAGTGATAAATGTTGAATTTGTTTTGTTATAAGTAAACTTTTTTTCTACAGTAGGAATTTGACACTTTATTTTATAAAACCTATTTATAAAAGATATTTGACCAAAAAAATGTTCCTTTGTACAAATAATTTTGGAGAAGTGCTGCACACTATCATGCTTTCTCGAAGATTCACAAGGGCCATAAGAATATTAAAAATATTTTGAGAAATTCTTATCTTTTTTTAAAAAAATTTTATTTTAATTTTTAAATTCAGAAGTACAAGTGCAGGTTTGTTACATAGGTAAACTTGTGTCATGGAGGCTGGTTGTACAGAATATTTTATCACCCAGGTATTAAGCCTAGTACCCATTTGTTATTTTTCCTGATCCCCTCCTTCCTACCACTCTCCACCCTCTGAAAAGCCCCAGTGTGTATTGTTCCCCTGTATGTGTCCATGTGTTCACATCATTTAGCTTTCACTTATAAGTAAGAATTTGCCAAATTTGATTTTCTGTTCCTGTATTAGTTTGCTAAGGATAATGGTCTCCAATTTCATCCATGTTCCTGCAAATGTCTTTATTTTTATGACTGCATAGCTTTCCATGATATATATGTACCACCTTTTCTTTATCCAGTCTATCATTGATGGGCATTTATGTTGATTCAATGTCTTTGCTATTTTGAACAGTGAACAAACATGTGCATGTGTCTTTATAATAGAACGATTTCTATTCCTTTGGGTACATAGCCAGTAGTGGAATTGTTGGGTCAAATGGTATTTCTGTATTTAGTTCTTTTAGAAATTGCCACACTGTCTTCCACATAGTTTAACCAATTTACATCCCCACCAACAGTGTATAAATGTTCTTTTTTCCCCACAAACTCAACAAAATTTGTTATTTTTGACTTTTTAATAATAGCCATTCTGACTGGTGTCAGATGATACCTTTTGCAAATTATGCATCTGACAAAGGTCCAACATCCAGCTTCTATAAAAAAATTTCCAACTTAAATTTCCAACAAAAAGAAAAAATAACCCCATAAAAAGTGGGCAAAGGACGTGAACACTTTTCAAAAGATAACATAGATGCAGCTAACAATTAGATTTAAAAAAATCTCAGCATCACTGATCATTAGAGTTATTATCTATTTAACTGTATTTTTCTTTTATTCAAACTGCAACATTTACCCTTACATGACTCTAAAATTTACTTGTCAAAATTTGTATTCTAAGAAATGTAATTGAAAATTCGCTGGCATATAGTATTATGTCTCTGAAATAAACATTGTGTTGCTAATGATTTCCCATTGCTTTCCCTTTCAGCGGATTGTGGAGGACCTTTTGAACTGTGGGAGCCAAATACAACATTCAGTTCTATGAACTTCCCAAACAACTACCCTAATCAGGCATTCTGTGAGTCATTTCTTTTCCAAGTCATTAGAAACAAATGTACATATCAAATTTAGATCTCTTCTTGACACAGCAGAGATTAAAAATTTGTCAAACATAGGTATACCTATCATGTCTACCTAAAAGCTTGCTTAATATAACAACAAAATAACAATAATTGCTAAATATATATAGCATTTATTTCATGCCAGGCACTTTGTTAATGCTCAATATACATTATTTCATTCATTTCCCACAATAATTTCTTGAAGCAGGTATCATTATTATAATTCCAAATTTAGAATTTGAATAACAACAGTGAGAGAACCAGTGTTACTCCAGACACCACTTTGTTTTAAGAATTGTTATTATTATTATCATCCTTTAAGTTCTGGGGTACATGTGCAGAACGTGCAGGTTTGTTACATAGGTACACACATGCCATAGTGGTTGGCTGCATCCATCACAGGATTTTATTATTTCTTACGACTGCATAATATTTCATTGTGCAAAGATACCATATTCTCCCTCCCTCTTCATCTATTTATGGACATCTTATGTTGATTCCATTATTTTCAAGAAATGGAAAAAAGTTGTTTTCTTTTCTTGGAAAATTATTTAAAATCCTCAAGAGAGTGAAGCTGTTAAAAGAAATCAGAAGTGTGTTCCAAATTAAATGTTACTTCTTCCTTTTAAGGTGTTTGGATATTAAATGCACAAAAAGAAAAAAATATACAACTTCATTTTCAAGAATTTGACTTAGAAAATATTAATGATGTAGTTGAAATAAGAGATGGTGAAGAAACCGATTCCTTGTTCTTAGGTAAGTTTGAAATATGAATAACGTAAATGTTGTATAGCTCAAGATAGTTGTACTTAGGGAAAATTAATATTTTTTTGAGACAGAGTCCTCTCTGTCACAAGCTGGAGTGCAATAGCTCAATATCTGCTCACTGCAACTTCCACCTCCCAGGTTCAATTAATTCTCCTCCCTCAGCCTCTTGAGTAGCTGAAATTACAGGCATGCGCCATCACACCTGGCTAATTTTTGTATTTCTAGTAAAGATAGGGTTTCACCATGTTGGCCAGGCTGGTCTCAAACTCCTGACCTTAGGTGATCCACCCGCCTTGGCCTCCCAAAGTGTTGGGATTATAGGCATGAGCCACCGCACCCAGCCAGAAGGAGCATTTCTTAATAAATGTAATCCTTCTTTTACAACTTGCAAAATGAAAATACAATAAGAGAGTGACATGAGTTTACGTAGAGCTTCCAATATAGGGCATATTTAAAACAGTGACAACATAATCATTTTTAAGCATTCTTCACAAAGCAGGACTAATTATTTTTACTTTTTAAATTCATTTTTAATTTTCATGGGTAAATACATGTATATATTTATGGGATATGTGAGATATTTTGATATAGGCCTACAATGCATAATAATCACATCAGTGTAAATAGGGTATCAACACCACAAGCATTTTTCCTGTCTTTGTATTACAATCCAATTATACTCATTTAGTTATTTTTAAATGTGCACTAAGTTATTATTGACTGTAATCACCCTGTTGTGCTATCAAATACTAGATCTTATGCATTCTGTCTAACTATATTTTGTATCCAGTGATCATCCTCACTCCCACACCCTTCCCAGTACCCTTTCCAGCCTCTTATAACCATCATTCTACTCTCTAGCTCCATGAGTTCAGCTATTTTGGACTAATATTTTTGAGCCATAAGTTCTACTAGACAATAATAATTGACTCCCACAAGCACTACACATTGGAGACTAGAAGCTAAGGATGTCCATTTTGTAGTTCTCTATACATTACGTGTACATCACATGTATTCTGTAGATCCCGGAATACATGCTGACACACTAAAAAGCTATCAGTCAAACATAGTGGCTAATACATTACTTAACTGCCACTAATTTTTAAGAAAAAAGATGTCTTTTGATAAGTCACACATTGAATTAAAATGCTCAAATGATCAATTTTGATAAATGAAATGATACAAATAAAAATGTTTTATTTAACGGTACTTTGAACTTATATCCATCATTCATTGTAAAATCTGATCCGATAGATATGCAATCAGGATACAATCACATGAATGCTGCAACTAATCAATGAAGACTCCAGAGAAAATTTTCTAGAACAAATGAAGGGGCAGTGTGGTGGGGAGGCTTTCCCAACCTTTTCATCAGTCAGCCCTTATATGGAATTCTGCAGCAAAATCTCACAAAGTTCTAGAGTGTGAGCTTGCTGGTGGAGAATTTTGGGAGCCACCCATAAAGTAAGCAATGAAAAATGTGGCTGGCAAGAGCTGGCAAGAGCCGAAGAATCTGAAATTTGTTTTTGTCTATACACATAAAAAAATTTTAAACAGTTTTCTTATTTTAAGTCAAATTATTTTTCTAATAAAAATTTCAGACTTCTTGTCATCTAGAAAATGTATAAATTCACATGTTAATATTTAAACAATCATTGAAAAGTAAATAAGAATTCCAGAAAGATCTCTGAGTTAATAGTTTAAAATTTGTAGGCAGGAAGGTCTTTTGAAACAGAATCATTTGTAAGGCTTTCAATATGTAAAACTTTCTTTAATGAATTTTTTTTTAATTAACTGAAGTATAGTAAAGAATGTTTTATTGTTTATGAAATCCCCAAAGCCAAGGAATTCAGCAGAAAACGTTTAAAAGTCACCATGTAGTTTATGTAGTTTATAATTCCATACACAAAAAAATACTGATTACATTTGGTCAAAAAGTTAGTAAAGGTGACTATAAACTCCATTGCTTTATAGAGTTCTTTATAAGTAGTCAATCATTTATTTGGGATAACATGAACTTTGAACAGCAGTGTTACTAAGCCAGGTATAAGTAATTCATCATTAAATTATAGAGCTATAGAAACCTCAATATCAAAAAAAGTAAGGAGAGGTTGACTTTGTTGAAGCAGTGTTCAAAATGTAAAAGAACGTGTGCATTCATTTACTGTGGCTGCTATATGAACAAGCCATGTGGCATGTAGCCTTACATCCAGCAGGTGGAACTGAGAACAGGGGTGCATTTCCTTCTAGACCCACAGGATCATCTCACTTATTCTCTCATTTTCTTTTGGAACAGCTGTGTACACGGGGCCTGGTCCAGTAAAGGATGTGTTCTCTACCACTAATAGAATGACTGTGTTTCTCATCACTAACAATGTGTTGGCAAGAGGAGGGTTTAAAGCAAACTTCACTACTGGTTATCACTTGGGGATTCCAGGTAAGAGCCCATAAGTCACACATTGCATAGTAACTTTTGGAGCAAAACAGCAAAGGTATACAGAATTTCAAGGCCAAAATCATATTTTAATGCCTTCTTCTGTGACACTCAGTCTTCCTCATCTTAATGAAGATCATCTTTCTTCTTTTATATCTATATTACCACTACCCGAGTTTGTTCAAAGTAGGAAGCCACTTTGTTATTAGCAGAAGTTTTTTAGCAGACCTACTTGCACTTCTCTGATGTGTAAAGAGTGTTGAATTTTGTGCACTGAAGAGGGACATGTTCAATGTTAAAAGTAGAATACTTGACCCTCTAAGGAAGAAAGACTGTCATGTTTCCCATGTCAAGAACATTTTAAGAGAACAAAGAAGGAAACAGGCAAGAGAGCTGTTGGCATGTCAGCAACATTCAATTAAGTAATTAACATCATTAACTTTGAAGACAACCAGAGTAAAGCACTGCAGTGTAGAAATTTAATGCTATTTGCTGGCGTGCCCAACCCTCTGACCCTGGCGGTTTTTTTTATTATATCCATAACATAATCAACAGGAGCAAACAAAATAGTGCTATATTCGTCATGGATATATACATATATTCATATATCCAGTATATAAAGGTTTGCATTCAACAATCTACAGAGCATTTTTTTATAACTTGCTACTTCACCTGGACTATGACTTAGCTGGTAGAACTGCCCCACAACTCAGTGGTTCTTTCCAGGTGCAAACATGTCAGAAAAACAGAATATATGCTACTTCCTACATCTCTCCTTCCCTTCCATATAAATATTTGTAATATTGATGTCTTTCACTTGAATATCTAGAGAAGAGGTAGAGTTGGATAGTTGATCTTCATCTGGCCTGTTATCTAATACCAAATCTAGCTACTATTAGGTTGTGTTTATCTTTATTCCTCCACATACAGTTGACCAGGACTTTTGATTCTCTCCCAGAAAACTGTCCGCTTTAATCTTTATGACAAATAATTAAGTGGTCTGCCCTCTAGCCCTGAAAATGAATCACGATTGTTATTATCCATGCTACTTAGGTAGAAGTAAGTAGTAGCTCAATCAATTAATCTGGATTTTGTGACTGATTTTAGAAGCCAGTCTTTTTACTTACAAGCAACAGTGACATGGATCAATAAAAAATAATTAATTAGGAAATACCTTGATATCTACATAAAATTATAATTTATCTTATAATAGAGTACCTTAAAAAGAAGAAATACAGAAAATGGCATGATTTTGTTAGGTAAAGAAGAAAATACATTAAGATGAAAATAGCAGTAGATACGTATGTACGTACGTGTGTGTGTGTGTGTATGTGTGTGTGTGGTGAGAATTTAACTTAGGAGAAAATTTGATCATTGCCTTGGAAAATATTAATCAAGATAATTTTGAAAATGTCGTTTTGAATTGAATCACTGATTTTGTTTCTTGAGAATTTTGTTGCTGCTGATTATACTATAACCATGTTTGTTTGCCAATTATTTTATCTGCTATTTCAGTTTCCTTCTCTTCGTAATGTACCTGTTATTTTAATTTAATTTAACATTTGAGTTATAAAGTATAGATGGGTGATGGACATAGATGAGGACATTTTGGTAGCTAATGTTAGCACTTTTAAGATAAAACAGGCTTTGGTTGTGTAACGTTTGAAAAAAGCTAAATCTCTCCTATTGTTACATAGAAAGTAAATTACTTTAATATCTAAAATTATGACCCTAATTTTTTTAATTATTATATAATTTTTGGCTCCCGTTAGAATAGTCTTTGCTCAGTACTGGCTCCCACAAGTGACATTACAATAAAGTCTCCTCTCAAGAAATTTGGAAAAAAATGGCCACCTTTGACCAGAGCAATTTTCTTGAAACTCTACCATAATCAAAGCTTTCCGATTTGATTAGAGGCCTTTGTTAGTAGTGTGAACTACCTAGTTTTTTGGTCTGTTGCATAACTATTCAAAACCTCTTGTGCAGAACACCACAAAATTTGTGTTGCACAACATTTCCACAAAAATTGATGATGGAAACCATGATAAAGAATGAAAAAACAATAAGTAAAGAGGATGGAAACATATGAGAACCTGTAATGGGTAGGAAAAAAAACCAACCCCAATTTGGAAACAATAAACATTCCTGAAATTGAAAAAATAAAAGCAGATCAGAACTAATAGTGAAAGATACAATGAAATAAAAAATTGTATGCTTTCCAAATCTGACTAAAATTACCTGAAAAATCATGAAGTCTCAGTGCATTCAACAAAAAAATTCATAAGCAGGAATCAGTGTTATAACATTTTCTGTGTGAAGTTTTAAATCTAAAGAGGGAAATTTTTCTGAAAATTCCTAGTAGAATAAATATAATTATTTTTGTAGATGTTGTAAATAAGATCAGCTTTATATTTCTCTCAGTTATGAACATTAAAACAATGAAGTGATGTTACTCATGTTTTAAGGAGAAAATGGCACAACTGAAAAATATACAAGGGTCAATAACTTGTGTATTTAAATGCAGCAAAATTTAGGCTGGGCAAGGTGGCTCATGCCTGTAATCTTCACTTTGGGAGGCTGGGGAGGATGGATCATGAGGTCAGGAGTTCGAGACCAGCCTGGCCAATATGGTAAAACCCTCTCTCTACTAAAAATGCAAAAATTAGCTGGTCGTGGTGACACTCGCCTGTAGTCCCAGCTACTCAGGAGGCTAAAGCAGGAGATTTGCTTGAACCTGGGAGGTGGAGGTTGCAGTTAGCCAAGATCATACCACTGCACTCCAGCCTGAGCAACAGAGTGAGATGCTATCTGCAAATAAATTTAAAAAAAAATACACAAATAAATGCAGTAAAATTATGTGCTCCCTTTTGCAAAATATCATAAAATAGAGCAAGTAAGTCCCCAATACCTAGTACCTATTCTACTGGAAGCCATCCTAAATTTTTTTCAAAAAATATGTCATGGAAATTTTTGAAAGAAATATTATACTTTTAAAGAAATTAAGATACATACTAAAATCTCAAGTAATTGAGATTTTATAAAATACTATGCTCTAACAGATAAGGGATTAGATTTATTGATGTATCCAAACAATTGAAATAATTATAGGTGATTTGGTTTGGCTCTGTGTCCCCACCCGGATCTCACCTTGAATTGTAATAATCCCCATGTGTTGTGGAAGGGACCCAGTGGGAGGTCATTGAATCATGGGGGTGGATTTTTCTTGCACTGTTCTCATAATAGTGAATAAGTCTCACGAGATCTGACGGTTTTGTAAAAAGGAGTTCCCTTGCACATGCTCTCTCTTGCCTGCTGCCATGTAAGATGTGCCTTTCTCCTCTTTCACCTTCTGACATGATTATGAGGCTTCCTCAGCCATGTGGAACAGTGAGTCCATTAAATCTCTTTTTTTCATATAAATTATGTAGTCTTGGGCATGTCTTTATTAGCAGCATGAGAACAGACTAACACAATAGGGCATTCCACCATCGGCAAAAGTGAATGCATCTTGAAATAAAATTTCAAAGAAAAAGTAGGTCTTTAAACTCTTATTTTAAATTGAAAATGAGAAGGGAGTAAATACTTGAAAAGAGGCAAACTAGTTCTCAAAAGGAAGACAGGGACAAATCTTTTTCATCAAAAAGTTATAGTTACAGTTTGTTTTTTAAAGTTGTGTTTTATGGATTCATAATAATTGAGCATATTTATGGATATATGTAATATTTTAATACAAGCATACAGTTTGCAATCATCCAATTTGGGAAACTGAAATATTCCTCACCTCAGACATTTATCATTTCTAAGTGTTAGGAACATTCCAAATTGTCTTCCCTAGTTATTTTGAAATGTACCATAAATTATTAACTAGTCATTTCATTGTGTTACCAAACACTAGATTTTATTACTTCTATGTAACTCTGTTTTGGTATCCATCAAAACCCTACTTTATCTTCCCTTTCCACTACCCTGCTCAGCCTCTGGTGACCACCATTGTATTTACTATCTTCATGAGATCAATTAATTTATCTCCCACATCTGAATAAAAACATGCTACGTTTGTCTTTCTGTGCCTGGCTATTTCACTAATCTAATGTCCTCCAATTTCATCCATGTTGTTGCAAATGACAGGATTTCATTACTTATTATGACCACATAATATTCCAATGCACAAAGATACCATTTTCTGTCTCTCTCTTCACCTGTTGATGGACTCTTAGGTTGATTCCATAAGCTGGCTATCAAGAATAGTATTATAATAAACATAGGTGAGCAGATAGCTCTTCGATATGCTGATTTTCTCTCTTTTGGATAAATAACCAGCAGTGGGATTCCTGAATTATATGGTAGTTATATTTTTAGCTTTTATATCTTTTAGTTCAAGAAACTTCATACTGGTTTTCATAATGCCTGTACTAGTTTACATTTCTACCAATGGTGTACAAATGTTCCCCTTTCTCTGCAACCTTGCCAACATTTATTATTTGTCTCAACATTTGAGGTAAATTATTTGTCTCAGATTCTTACAATGAAACAAACACAACATCAACGATTTTGAAAAATATTACAAGCAGTTTTGATTCAAGATCAAACTCAAAAACAGAGCACAGTCTATTTCTCTCAACACAGAAGAGACACCAAGTTTATGGTGAATAGACTATATTTCTTTGGCCTGTAGCTAGATTTCATTTACTACTTTTACATTAGCATGTAAGTTCTAAAGTTATTTTTAAGGAAAAAGTCCCTTGTTTGAAGCTAGCATGGAGTCTTCCATGCCCATCACTGCGTGATGAATACATGGAGAGTGTGGTTTCACATTTCTCCTAGACATAGGACAGATGTTGCTGGGAAGTGAGTAGTGGAATGACTGAGCTGTCATCAGTACTATCTGCTTCTGTTGAGGTTTTTTATACCCAAATACTGAAAAGAAATTACAGAAATGGGGACTTGGCTGTGGAGGATAATCAAGGTGGTAATGGAAAGCAAGGCTAGACACACATACTGGC